ATCTTCGGTAAACCACCAGTACCTAGGGTATACATTCAGAGGCTCAACACCGAGTTCCAAGATAGATAAGGAGTATTATAATGGGTACATTTTTATAAGGATATTGTCAAAACATTATAAGTTATTACCTTTGGAATGACTTTTCGTGGAAATCTTCATCCGACAGATATATGGTACTGGGTTGAAGAACTGATTCACGTACCTGGGCACCTGGAAGGTTACTTGCAGGTTTAAGTCTGAAATTTCAATACAGATCTATACTGCCTTATTCTAACATTATTAATAAGGTAAATGTGACATGTCCCAAAAAGACATGCCATTCGTAATCTCGCACATTGCGCCATGAACTCGTTATGAACAAAGTTGTTTTGCTTTGCTAAGTGTAAAACTATTAGGACTTTAGTAGGTCTCTACGGCTTGATTTGGTAAGCAGAATGAGCGCGTAAGTGGCTAATCCATAGTGTAATAGTAGGATGTTATATGTTTCAGGGGGGTTAATTATCATACTCCTTAGCGCTGTTAAGCCACAGTTTAGTATCCTTTAGTTAGTATGCTCGCTGTGTCACTACAGCTATCACCTACTGGACTCGAATCTTAGCAAAATTAAACACATTTCTGAAAGCAAGCCTGTTGGCTGTGGCTAGTCCGCGGGACACGACTAGCCTTTGCTAAAGCAGACTGTTTTATAGTGTGGACAGGCTACCCAGGAACCGCCCCTCCGAATACATCCTCTATCTAAACAAATCGACTCGAAATAATAATAATAACTCTCTAATGCACCTCAGACTAGATCGCCCTATAGACCTCGACGAAAACTAGGTCCACCGAATACTTCCATCATCAGACCATCGTACCGATAGCCGCGACTTCATTTTAATTATTTGCCGTGGTCTTCACATCGCGTCGAAATTTAATCAAGAAAGACCGCCGAAGATAGAACGACAGATTCCTCACGTCAACGGCCACGTAGAAGCCAACGAAAATACGATACGCGCCTTGAGCTCTATCGTAAAGCGATCGAAATGTCCCCGATGAGTCCCTCCCAATTATCCGATAATATAGAACGCCGAGATTCACCTAGTGCCTGACTGGATCGTTGCCGTGTCTAGCTTTGATTACGAATATTTGAGTAGGCAAAACTTTGAGCAAATTTGGATAAGACCATCCTTCGACCACATCCGGCATCTAGGAAAGACGCCTCGCCGCCCATACAACAGCGGTAGTGTGAATGGTCCTGAAAAATTACACAAATAATATGGGTAGGACGATGCGGTGTGATTATTTTAACAGTAACTCAACAGAAGTAGCAACATCCCCTTCGCGTCCCCTGATTTTATTGGGCTTAAACGTAGTGTACTGACCGACTTTTGAATTTGCAACAAATGGAGGGTATACAACTTCTATGTTATATTAAACTTGATTCGTGACACGTCGATGAATGCCCAGAGGTAAGTAACCTAAGTTAGTCCCTGGTCAGAACCAAACTATCAGCCAGCTATTACTAACTAGAACAATACTATTAGTGATTCTATCCAACGACGACGCCTATACCACGCAGCCTCGCCCATACCATAATAGGCCGATATATCTATACCGCCCGACTTCAAAAGCGTATCGACATTTTCGTCAAAGCCTTGAAGCATGTAACGTAGATAATAAATACCGTAATAATAATGACCGACCCAACCGGCGCCGATCTCGTACGTTCTACACCTGCATACACGAGAAAAATAGGCGATATTACCTTGGACAACTGGTTTTAGTGGAAATAGTCTTGACGGGTTCTTCGTTAACGTTACTATACTCTGGGCTTGGGAAGTTCTATAGTATATGCAAATGTAAAGAATATCTCACGTGATTCGTAGTTTCAACGCCTTATATTCGGCTACTTCGGTGCTGTTTACCTAGACATGCTACCATCAAAGGCCAATTATCCTGCTATGGTTTATATTACCTGCTGGGTATACACCTGGTCATTTGAAAGCCTCTTAATGGGACTTAGGTAAGTTACGGTAACACGTTTTGGTTCAATTCTTATCATGTAGAAATTAAGCCAATTGTGTGGCAGCTATATAAACATAGAACAGAGTTTATGAGTGGGTTTAGCCCCTTGTTGAATGGCTCTTCGCTTTTGTAAAGACATCAAGGAATTAAACCCTAAGGCGACTTTGATATATACTTAGGTAAGCTTAGATATGGAATAGGGAGTAAGCACCTTACTATATGTGTCGTTGATGTTGTTAATAATTATCTAAAAAAAATTTAAAACATACTGTTATTAATGTGGAATATTATGCTATAATCTTTTAAATTATCTGCCTAGGAAGGTTTTAGAATTTCTTCTTTTACCACTTATCAATAATAGTTGAGGCATGGTCTTGAAGGAAATATCAATGACAGACATGTCTTGATCCCAACGCCGAAAACACCTATAAGAATTGAAGATGCCCTGTTCCTGTCTACTATACATTCCTACCTGTTGGGGGAACTCAGAGATAGATATCATAGAATTGTATATAGATCCTATCAGTGGTTGACCTGTACGAAGCGATACATCTTGGGAAGTATCGGAGGAGCCCCGTATCGCCAATATGGGGACAGAGGAGCCCCTGGAACAAAGATGCTACTTGTGCATGTATACGATAGTTCCTGTAGCAGTTACTTGCGATCTCTTCACATAACGACAGAGTAATTAACCCCTTTCTATGGTTGGTCTCATGACAGATCCCATCCACATGGGTTACGTATTGCAAATTAATAGAGGCTGAGATCGGTGAATATACCTGCCTCTACAATATATCAATAACGCATAGGTACTTTACTTAGGTCCCCCATGATATTACACGACTCCGTTTTGTAAAGGCCTGCTTTACAGTGAAATTAATTAGCTCCTCCAGCCACCATCAGACATGATTCGTTCGGAATTAGGTATTTTGGTAGTAGAAGCAGATCATTGCATTGCTCAGCCATGACCCCCACTGGAATCAGCAAGTCCGTTAGTGGTATGTCTCCTATGGTTACGTCTATCCTTACAAATAGGACTTGAATACGGAGGTACGCGTTCTGGGATATAGCGCCCCTATACTAAAACCTAGCCTAGAGAATTCTCTGGTGAGAATGGTAGCTCCTGAGATTGTGTTCTACATCAAAAGGCAGGTATGTCATGATACTAAGATACTCAACAAAGCATGACAGGAGAAACAATCCACTGAATAATTAATGATATTTTATCAGCCAAGACGTAGACCTTTTTATGAATATTGAAAATATGATATCTAAAAAATGACGGCTTGACTTACACCATTAGAATACCCAGAGAGGCTTTGTTTCTTTTCCTTATATCTCGTGTACCAATTAGGGAGACTGACCCCGAAGAATATAATTAGAATTCTTTCAATTCAGGAGAAAATACTCATGTTTGTCGTATGGTAGCAGGGCCGTGCCAATTACTTTTAAAAATAACAGAAAAATTATGCTTGATACTTCCCCTTGCAACAAGGTTTTGTTCCTCCAAATTAATCCACTTGTAGTTTACGAGACATGTTCCTCAAGAGAATACCTATGGATGCTAATTGCCTACATACCGACTGGGTAACCATCTTAGGTTAAGAAACGATATTATATGTCTACTTTCCTTTAGATTGGTACTTTTTAACTGAGGTAACAACAAGATATCGCCTAGAACTTTAGGTATCTTTATTAATTCTAATATGTATAAATATCCAATTATTAAGTTCCCAATGTGTGGATTTAGTAAATTCACGACTTCAGTGATAGTGGGTAGTATCGTCCAAAGATCAGTCCATAAGGACTTTAAGACCAAGCACAGTAGTCTACTCGGTGCTCGTAAACTATAGTTTGGATAGGTTGATAAAAATGTACAAAGATTCTAGTAGATAACAAATTTGTAATAGGCGAGGCAATATCTGACTGGAACGTTGGTCCAGAACAGGGCTGTGATTGTAATTACCATGGAAGCTACAGATCTGGCTAGTAATCTCTGGTATCATGACAATACTGAGATAATCGAGATCTATGCATCGTAAGTACTGGTACTTGCAATTATCGATGGGGCTGGTTAATTGGCTCACACCATGCTTGGTCCACTCGCCACCTAGGTAGGGTTCACGAAGCAATCTGCAACGTTCTGCTTACTGTGAACGGACTTGTTTGCTAGAAAGGAATTTGAAGTATCACTCACAGAACCATTGAGCAAATTTCTTTTGTGAGCAGTCAGTCTTAGGCGCATAGTTATTATTTGGGGGTTGGTTTGCTACTTATCCTGGCTGATTTGAACAGATGCGTAAGCGATTTAACATGGAAGCACACGCAGAGGAGCAAAGGAATTACCATCCATACCACCTAGGTACCTCATTTGAATATTGTATCTACCTAAGTGATGACTACTTTGTCGCTATGTACCTACATGTTAAGATACATATAGCTCATACCATAAGGGGAACCCCCTTTTTAGTACCCTAAGACGTGCAAGAGAGCTTCTAGCGAGCCATCTTAACATATTTATGTGAACATGGTGCCTGGTGAAGATATGCATGCTTGTAATAGACTCCTGAAGGCAAAGAACTGCTTTTATTAGTATGTATAGTACTTATATAAATGTATTTTATAGGGGCGGTATATGAAGCTTCAATTAGTAAGTAAGTAGTGTTTAAGAGAATATACTTGGATATATGCATAATTATAGAAATATATTGCATTAGAGAGTTTATACTTTAATGGAGGTATATTTAATACGCGTGGCTTAACGATGCCTGTCCTTTTTTTCGCGGGTGTAACGTGGGGCTAATTGAGCTTGAAGCTCTTACGTAGACCTGAGCTTCCTCCCATTCTCAATTCAAACGAATCAACACTGTTGCCTTATATGAAGCTTTCGACATTTATCGCCAGCTCACCCCTCCTCCCGGTTCGACAAATCTAATAATCTCTTGAACAAGTTTAACTTGGAAATTATAACCAATCCCCTAAGCTGTTTGCCCATCATGGCTAGCAACCCCTATGAAGGTAAGCTCTGATACGTTCCGCGCCCTCAGCCTTCTCTAACACAAGCTCTCTACGCAGTCGAACACAACATCAAAAAGCCGGCGCATCCGCCGCACAAGCGCCGTCCTGACATGTCGAGCTTCACCTCGCACCTACACCAAATATCGCAAGACAACTCCACAAACAGCCGACGAGAACAACATCTAGGCCCGACACCCGTGGATGCAGCAGGTCTGTTCCGCCTCGTGCAGGACCAATTCGCGACACTTGCGGTCGATGCCCCGACGCCTGAGAACCAGGCTTTCTTGGAGTCGCTAATGCGGGTGCTGGAGTCGGATATTGGTGCGCCGCCGGATTCTATCCCAGGCGTCACGCAGGAGTATCTAGATGGCCTGGATCGCGTGCCTCGGAAGCAATTGAAGAAGGATGAGAGCTGTCCGATTTGTGCAGAGCACTTTGTGGATGACCCGTATCCATTGGTGGTGGAATTGCCGTGCCATGGAAGCCATCGGTTTGATTTGGAGTGCGTGGGGCCTTGGCTGTTGAGTAAGGGGTCGTGTCCTATGTGCAGGAAAGATCTTACGAAAAAGAAGGCTGTGGAGATTCCGAAGGATGAAGAAGAGGACGATTTCGATGGGTTGTATGGTTGATTATGGTGGGCTGGGAATGATGTGATGATGTAGGCGATACCCTAGAAATTCGATATCTACGCATATCGAGAACAACAATTTAGAGCACACGGTGAGGTTTGCACAATTATGAAGTTCGCATGGTACATTGATGTCAAACAAATGACTATATCCAGCCGCCTAACTCCCGATCGGAATGCGAATATTTACGGAATATACAACCAAGCCGCCCTCTCCGTGCGGATATTAGATATGAAACCCGTCGGTAAATTAAGCAGCTGGAGTCTTCCCTTTCTTAGGTCCACTACCACCACCACTGGCCTTCTTCTGCCCACCATGCGGTCTATCTTCCTCCTTGCCCCTACCAGCCTCGGCGAATGCCTTATTCGCAGGGCTTTCGTTTAATGGGTTACCATTACTTTCGGCCCCCGCGGCTTTGGTTTCGGTTTCGGGATCCGTCTTGTTTGGGTTGAAGGCGGCGTCTTGCTTGCTGGCTACCTCCTCGTCCGTTCCGCTTGTTGTGTATTCGTGTGTTTTAGGTTTAAAGGACTCGCGGTCCATATCATCCTTATATGGGAATTGCTGTACTGAAGATTGGTGGAGTTGTCTGGCTGCGACAATACGGCTGGTGTTTGAATTTAGACGAGCGCTCGGTCGAGCTCGTAGAGCTGTGCGTAGAGATGTAAAGCTCGACATTGTTAAATGAATTGCTATTAGATCAACGGTAATTGTGTATTTTTCTTTGGAAAAAAAACTTCGATTGAAGTGATAGTTTTTATTAAAATGTTGTTTATATCGCGAAGTCATAGATTGCAGCTCTAATTCTGACGGGTTGATTGAAAAGATAGAGCTTCGAGATGAGCGTCACAGTTCGTTGTAGTGACGTCATCGTATCGGTTCCATCCATAAGAGGCAGGGACATGGCGGAATCATAGCGGAACCAAACCTTCTAGGATACGAGCTCCACTTTTGATTTTCAACTTTAACATTGACATCGCGACTCAAGTCCTTCCTCACCTTCCTCTTCTAACTCTTCTAACTCTTCTAAAAAGGCGTTAAAGACAGACGCTCTTGTTCTTCATCAACAATGCTACTAATACGATACTCCAGATGGTAGTATCATCCCGGGTATTCATTCATCTTTCTATCTCCCTATTTCTTTTGTCGCACCAAGTGGTCACTCTCCTTCACTCATTGGATGGGATCAAGTTACACAATATCAATATGATGGCGTCCCAGAGGACTATCTCATCGGACTTGATATTAAGTGGCGTTTCCCCGCTTCCAGGACCATTATCCGAGCACATGGTTGTTGATGGGCTTCATCCTGCCAATGGTTTACAATCAGTTTTGCGAAGTCGATATTTCATGAAATACCCTATTGGAGATCTAGAGATGTTCGGCGAGGCAGCGAAACACTATTATGAATAATGTTTACCACGATTGATGGTGCACACACATTATACTAGGCGCCACCTTGTAGAATGTTAAGCAACTTGTATTTGGGTATATTAATCGCTCTCTTCGCACTACCGGTACCTATTCTCATTATGCTCGCTAATGGTATATCCGCATCGCTATCTGCACCATATCAACCGAAAAGTATATGACAAGAATCCAAATCCCCATTAATTATATCCACCCATAATCGATTATTTTTAAACCATCAACGCGGCAACGACAGCAAGACCGGCAGCGATCCTACCGTCGGCAGTGAAGATACCACCGGCTTGCTGGGAAACAGTGGTAGTAACAGCACCGGGGGTGGAGGTAATGGGTGTGTCGACGTTAGAGTCGACACTAGTTGTCGAGCTCGACGAGCTCGAAGTTGTGCGGCTCCTAGTAGTAGAGGACGACGTGGTTTCCTCGTCCCTGGTGCTCGTGGTTGTGGTCGTCTTCGTTGTTGTGCGGCTAGTGGTGGACGTGAAGTCATCATCTGAAGCGGAGGTCAAATTGGAGGAGTCGCTGTCGCAATCGTCGCCGAGGTCACAGCAGTACCCATCGGAAGTACATGTGCCAAAGTCAGGGCAGTAGTGAAGTCCATCAGAACAGCAGGTTCCGTCTAACGGCATGCACAAGTCACCACATTCTGTCTCTCCTACACCACACTCGGCCTCATCGTCGCTGGCACCATCGCATGTCTCTCCTTCAGGGCAGCATGCGTTCGGCACACAATAGTAGCCCTCCAAACAGTACTCGTCGGTGTTGTCGTTGCAGCAGATATCGCCGATGGGCATACAACCGTTCTCACATTTGGTATAGCCAGTTCCGCAAGTAGCGAAAGTATTGAGAAGCTTACTTTGAGCAAAGCTCTTCGGCAAGCCGGAACGCGCCAGCGGTGTCACAGCTAGGGTGACCGGCGCGGCGAGGAGGACAAGAGTCTGGACGAGCATTGCGACTTCTAATATAAAAACGTCTAGGGATTTGATAGTTGAGCACGTGAAACCGTGGGGCCGTTGACAGGTGATAGAAGATTGAAAGAGTGCTTGAGGGGGTCAATCTTACAAGAAACCGCTCATGTCCGCCACGCTCCTTTTATCCTCAGGTCCCTTCTCGACCTCATCTCGCTCAAATCCTGAAAAGGTACAGCAAATTGACCGCAAAAAGCCTTGTCTGCCTGGGTAGGCTGAAAAGCCAAGATATTAGTTTAATCTCTAGACTAGGAACTGGAAGCCTGCATCTCTAGGGTATGGGTACCGACCCGCCCAGGCGTCTTTACATACAGAGCCCCAATGACTGGGCGTCCCCTCCGACCTAGTTATTAACAGACCTAGCGAGCTTGCCCGGATTCGGATGAATTCATGCCCGTATGACTTATCTAAAACCATAAAGTCGGTAAACTCAATTCGCAAAAGTCCCCCAGACAACAAATCGTGGATTTTCAATTCATGATGATTCGGTAGAATATTTTGACTAGCGCCACTCAGCCCACAACGAACACACTTGGCATAGTCCGTGTTTTTTGCCTTCATCAATGGCTGCTATATCCATCTCGGGTGTCGGGCGGGGAACCGGCGAGCATCTCCAAAGCGCAACCGAGATACTCGTCGAAATAAGCGAGTTAAATCTCACTCCACCAAGGCACGAGGCGCCACCTGCGAAAGAAACGAGGAAAACGAAAGATGACATGGAGCGACTATAGCACGCGTCTATCACGAGTCTCATCTCATTTGATAGCATAATCTTGAACGAAACAGAAAATTTCCCGCGCTTCGCGAGCTATGGCTTCGGAATGTGTCGAGATTATTAGTCACAATAGACCCCAAAGCTGAAAAGACCCCTGGACAAAAAGCAAATGGTTTTTAATCACGGTCACACTTTTTTGACTCTTTACACCAATACCAACCGTCCTGGAGATATCAAGGGGCAGCTAGCCTTATTAGCGGAACATGGATTTAGTTAGGCTGGACCCAGCCGCACTTCGGATATCCTAGTCGAATTGAAAAGAAGTTAAATTTGACTGCCAAGAGCCCGCCAGACACCGAATACTCATTTTATCATGGTCTCTCGTCGGGCTTCGTTCTAGAGAATAGGGCGTTATCTGTTGTCAAGTGGCGATGAGCTCCTCTTTCGGGATTGAGCCTACTGCTAGTATTAGAGACGAAAAGCTTTTCTTTTTGCCTCTTACCCAAGCGGGGAAGTAGGTATGGTTCTTTTTACCTGTTGAGTTCGATTAAAGCCTTACGCTGTAGTCACGGTAACTGATTTGGAGATGGCTCGATAATCCTTCTGAAACCGAGTGGCTGAGATAATAATGCGGTGGTAATTGGTTCCCGATCATGCTGTCCCTTAGTCACTAAAGGTTCCTTGCAGATGACTTGTCTCTTGCATGCATACCCCAATGCTAGAATCAAGGCAGCCGGAGAAGCATTCGTTCTCTAGGTCGCTATGGGAAATTACCAAGGTAGTGCCGTTATCTTCTCCCACGGGGAAAGGCAATGGTTACACCAGCCCTATGATTCGTGATTACGGTCGGAAGTCCGACTCGTTCTGCCTTGACAATGAAGTCGTTAGTCTAGACACCAATCGCAGGATTATCAGGAAACATCATAATTTTCATAATATTTTTAAGGCTCTCGAGTTAATTCCTTTGAATAAAGCGAACTGCTGTTAAGTGACAAGATCATAGCCCAAGGGGCTGTAATCCACAGTTGTCGGTTCGTTTCGGTAGTTAGAGAAATCCTTCGCGGAATTATTTGCGAGTGCTTTCTCATGGCTTATCGGGGTAGGTACCCAAGATTGACTTGTATGTAGAGTTCTACAGCTTGTGTGATAGGGATTAAAGTGTCACCCAAAACACAGTAGTCATCATCTCATCATATAAATCAGACGATGATATGCCAATCTACCTACGTAGACAGAGGCCAATGGATGTTCTAGGGCCCCCCATAATACTTCAGTGCACATCATCGGATCTTACAAGCCAATCCCATGTTGGGACGGACTTGATACCATCGAACTTAGAATGGGAACGACGGTGTGAGCGATGGTGTGTGATCCATGACGATGCCTCAACCTTATTTCAAAGACAAAAAATTGATCTAAGGCTCTAACAGACATTCCCACGTCGCGACAGTATACGGGGAATTATTTCGCTCGTTTGTTGTTACGAAACAGCTTCGGATACGATCTCAATTCAAGCCCCGAGCGCCGTCTCTGAGATTCATAACCAATTTCTTGGGTATACGTCGTTAGAAAAGATAGAAATCTCATCCTATGGCCCTCGCCTTTTCGCTCTCTCAGGAGTCCGTGGGTAGGTAATTAAGTTAACTTGAGCATAGCAGCTTACATAGAGCCTATTTCCGCATATTGCTTCCCGCAATTGAGTATGAATGGAAGAGTGCTCCATGTCTGATGGTCCCATCATCCCAACATCACCAAAATCTCGATGTGATTTCCCCTACGCCGTCTTGCGGCACCAAATTTATTCCATCATGTTTCTATTTTGTATCATATTTTAGGAAATTTATTCCTTGCTGTATTGCGTGTCTAGCGAGAACTTCGTTGGTGTGGTACTGTTTCGGGCTCACTAATACGTCGAAATGTCGCTCTCAGCAGAAGATACAGTCGCCAATTCTATCGACATTACGAGTCCTTGGGAGGATCCGGAGTTTTACGATGTCGATTTCGCTGACACGCCGTGTAAAACGACACCGTCGAGGGCCAGCACTTATCGGGATGATGATGGCACCGAATACCCCTCAGGCCTGAAATTATGGCTCATTATCTTATCACTATGCATGGCGGTCTTCCTCGTTGCGCTTGACCAGACCATCATAGCTCCGGCTCTAGGCGCCATCACTGGAGAATATGGCAGTGTTAAGGATATTGGTTGGTACGGGAGCTCATACCTCCTGACCTCGACAGCCCTTCAGCCACTATACGGCAAGGTATATCGAATATTCGACATTAAATATTCGTTTCTGTGCGCTGTCGCGATCTTCGAGCTTGGTAGTTTGGTCTCGGCCATGGCGCCGTCTTCTACTGTCTTCATCATTGGCAGAGCTGTAGCTGGTATGGGGAGCGCTGGGCTATTTTCTGGCTCAATCGTCATCCTATCGTACACTTTACCCCTGAGAAGGCGGCCGATGATGTTTGGGATGTTCGGATGTATGTGGGGAATCGCGTCGGTTGCTGGGCCTGGGGCAAGTTTATTTTTAATTTCATTATTACCTGTTGATCATACTAATAGTAGTGTTGCTAGCTTGGGGGCGTTTTTACGGATCACCTAACTTGGAGATGGTGTTTCTACATCAATTTGCCCATCGGAGGAATTTCCATGCTAGTAATATTCTTCTATCTCAACATCGCGCGAGTCAATAACCCGGATAACCAATCATTCCTCACCCGGGTCCTGGAACTTGATTTAATAGGGGCTGCGGTGCTGATACCTGCGATTGTCATCTTGCTTCTGGCACTTCAGTGGGGTGGCGCCCAATATCCTGTACGTACCATAGCAAAATCTTCATTTCAATCCTTCCGAAAGATCTAATTACTAACATTCAGATGCTGTAGTGGAGCGATCGACGTGTAATAGGTTTATTCGCTGGATCAGGCGCCATGTTTTTAATATTCGTGGGGATTGAACATTATCAGCAGGATAAGGGGTTGCTGCCTCCCAGGTTCTTCAAGGATCGCAATTTGTTGTGCGCCATGTTGGTAAGCGTAACTAATTTCCGCGTGTGCTTGAACAGTTACTAATTCGAATATTACAGTTCGCTCTCTTCTTCGGCGCCTCTTTCTTCCCTTTGATCTACTACCTCTGTAAGTCCGCCCTCCCTGTTCAAGCCTAACACGATCTAATTAGCCATAGCTCTCTATTTCCAAGCTATACAAGGCGATAGCGCCGTCGAGGCAGGCCTTAAGCTCCTACCTCTTTTAATATCCGTTGTCATCAGCTCGATCGTCTCAGGCGCGCTTATTACCGTTACCGGATATTATAACCCGTTCATTCTCGCCGAGATTGCCATGGTAGCCGTGGGTGCTGGACTTATCACGACCCTCGATATTCACACGCCCTTCGCCCGCTGGTTCGGATATCAAGTCCTTGACGGGCTAGGTGTAGGCGTGGGGTTCCAGGCCGGTGTGGTAGTAGTACAGAATGTGGTCTCGAGAGAGTTAGTACCTCAAGCCACATCTTCAGTACAATTCTTCCAATCTTTCGGCGGCGCGCTCTTTATCGCTGTAGCGCAGACCGTATTCCAAAACGGATTCATACGAGCCATGAAGCAATATGCACCCCACGTCGACGCATCACTCTTCATCCATAGCGGCGCAGGTCAGATTCGTGAGGTACTAGCCGCAGCGCATCAGCAGAAAGCACTTAATGGCGTGTTAGAAGCATATATGCATGGCCTGCGACAGACATATTACTTCTCGGCCGGTGCTGCGGTGATTGCGTTCCTGGCTGCATTGGGCCTGCAGTGGAAGAAGATCGAGAAGGGTGGCGGTGCCGCTGTTATGAAGAATTGGTATGAGAGACCTTGCACGCCGGCTCCAGAGTTTGATACACTATTTGAGGGCGCCGGTGAACTACAAGCTGCAAGACTACGGAAGCTATAATGATATGTAGACTGGGTGGGTGGATTTAACTGGACATCTAAGTTGATATCTATGTTAAAGTATTGTATAGGACGTGATATGCATGATTTAGGCGCATATAGAAAATTTTGGAAGATGTATAATTTGATTCATTTCAGTACACACTACCTAAATGACAGCGACTTAGTCATTGATCAATGGAAAACTCCCATAATATCCTTTTTCATTTTATGTTATTTTTTATTTTCGATAGTTACAACTTGAAAACCCGAACCGAAATCCGAAGAAAATCAAACATCACCAAAGAAGGACAGGCCCTATGGCCCTACAGACTTGGAAGTCCAAATCAATACCTACGCCAAGACCGGGTCCTCAAATCCGACCACTCAATTATATCCCAGCATCACAAACCTAGGTATTGCTAGATGCCAATCTCCTTTGCAAGTACTCGATTCTAAAACGATCATGTCGGTATAAAATCGCATCGCAGCTTAGATATAGTACATGGTGTCCTTCAGATTTTCATTGACAGCCACAGCCGATACCTCGGTTTGCGAACTAGTCGAGGACATAACGTCGGATCGGTCGAAGTAATCGGCGAGGTACACTCGCTGGCGTGTACAGACAATATCGGCGTAATAAGCCGGAGGACAAATACTGACCGCCTTGGTGGCTCGGCCGAAGAGATAGCACATTTCGTGTGTGAGCGTTTCAAGACAATCGGCTGCTTCTGTTCCGAGAGTCGCGCGGAAGACTTCGTCGAGTAGGACCGTGTAGTGGGCTGGTTTTGCGGTGCCTAGATACGTTTAGGGTTAGTTTGGTTTCATTTTTCGATAGGATCAATGGGGATTTACCTTGTAGAGCAGTGTGTGCGACCAAGAAGAAATCCCAAATCTTAGCCGTGGTGATGCCGCGATCTACTACAGTTCCGTTCTTGACGTTACGAGACTTCGTCATATGGTTGGGATCAGTTGGGTAGAAGCGCGTTTGGTGCCTCTTCACCGATACGACTAGGGAAATCTTTGGTTGTCGCCCAGGGGGATAAAGCTTGGAGCACGCCGTTCGAATCAAGGGGAGTTCTTTTTCCAACACTTGCTGGAATTGTCCCTCCGATACGCCGTCTCGGAAGATGATAACGGTTTCTGGAAGTTGGGATTTGTTGTGTTGCCTCCACAGCCTTAGGCGCTCGGCAAACTTGTCTACCAAGACAACGTCCAGCATTTCTTGCTTGCTGGCTTGTCCCCACGATGCGGCAGGCCACTGCGCCAGTTCTTGATCGATACTGGATACCATCCCTACCAAACTTGGAAGGCCGCTCGAACCTCCGGCAAGGTTGGTCGGATGGGTTACATCGTAGCCGACGATCATACTCTTTCCATCTTTAATGATCTTGACATCATTACTCAATGTGTGGTTAGCACCACCCATCTTCAAATTAACCTTTAGCGCAACATTGGCGAAGTATTGTGGTTGACACTTGATGATGTTGCTTCGAAGTACGCAGACAGTGTGCCAGCCGAACTCGACGTCTCCGAGAAATTTGACGGCGTTGTAAATGGTCGCATCCGTCTTTTTGCCGGGTAGGACAACAAATATCATCTGAGGTCTGTTATTGACATACATCTTGAACCTGGCCCTTAATTTCTCCAAAGGAGAACCTCTCCTCGGGACCGAAACCCTATACTCGTTCCCGGGAGGCGCGAATGGATTGGGTGACATAGCTATGCCCATACCGCGCATAAAAGTAGTCCATTGTTGCATGGCGTTTTGAACCTCAGTGTTACTAGGCGGTGGTTGGTCGGCAAAGTCAATATGGATATATGTCCAACTGTTTAACACGCGCCCGGGCCTGACGACCTTCACGTCTCGCATGTTCCAGCCGCCCTCGAAGGCTTGGATAATCTGTCTCCTGTTTTGTTTGTTCAGATAGGCTACGGCGGGTGGTGGGAGTTCGCGTCCTGTTATCGACAGTAACCTATCGCCGACTCGAATGCCAAACTCAGCCTGTACGAAATAAGCAATTAGCTTTTATTTATACTTAATAAAGGGAAGGGTTACTCACAAGCTTCTGGCTTTTGTCGAGACCCAGAGTATCTCGGCCGTACTTGGCTAGGGATGTCTGATTCGCGAATGGTGACCGACAAGCAAACTTGATCATCTCGGCGGTCTCGTCGGCCGTCGTTTTACCCTTCTTGGCCTGCCCCTGAATGACCTCACACAACTCCGCGGGCATGTATATGGGCCTAGTTGTACCAAACTTGATCACAGGGTACCTCGTGTTCACTTTAAAGTTGTATTCTGCGCACTCGTTAGCATCAATATCAGGGCGAGAAATTATTGTTGATACATACTTTTCGAGTAGTATTCGGATACAGTGCAATAGGCGTCTGACTTCATTCCGGGTGGCACATTACCCGATAGGAAGAATGAGACGTCGTTTGGTCCGGCACCAGGGCGTCTAACCTGAGGTTTGTTCGAACCGGAGCCATCATTCGGCATCGCAACCCCAGCGATTTGTTTCTTGATGATTCTCTCCTTCGACTGTGGACCACCTTTGGAGCCTTTCTCGGGTAATAGTCTGCAGTAACATCGGAGACCCGCTAAGTGCTTGCCGAGCATGGCAGGTGGGCTGTTCAAACCGTAATCGTCGATCATTTTCGTTACCGAACCTCCGGCGCGGAACACACCGTGGGCGACATTGGCGTTTAAAAGAAGCCGTCCTGTTGCGGGTCGAGCACTTTGGAAGTACCCACGGATGACCGAGTTGTTATCTGGGTATCCTAATGGGTGAACTTCAGAAGGGACGTTTAACGGAAAGAATCGACTGCTACCCAAGGAGCCAACTTGATCATGAGAACGTGCCCAGAACCCGGTGATAATACTGAGAGCGTCGATCTCTGATTCGAACCTCGGGATGTGGGTGTCCCCAGGCAGATCCTGCATCGTCTGAACGTAGTTTCTGAGGGCATCCATATTGATGTCGGGAGATGGATCAAATTTGACCTCGTATATATCACTGCGCCCCTCATCTTCATACAGGATTTCAACTATGTTGTTGTCTGGTAGCTTAAGTTTACCAATGGTGACGACTTGAGCTTTAAATTCGGTCGCATAGGGAACTCCCTTGGCGACTATATCCAGGGCCCTTTTGATGACTGTCGCGAGTTTCATTCCCTTTGCTTCACGTTTCTTGTCATCCTTGTCACCCTTTTTGCCTCCACCTTTCTTGGATTGGGCCTTCTTGAGAGGTTCTTCGGCCTTTTCCTTGCCCTTCTCCTTCTCTTTTTCAGTGGCTTTTATCGCATATTTATATAAAGATGGCGTTTTGACTTCCAAGGCGAAGTAGTTGGTTCGTAGGGTGACGACAATCCCCTTGGTACCAAACGCTGGTCGGAAAGGCATGTGATCTTCCCCGGGTTTCGAGGACTTTGAACCTTTACTCGACGAGAGTTTCAGAGCGCTCATCTTGCTCACCATGTCGAAATCTTTCAGGATCTTGTCCTCGAGTTTAGTGATATTTGGGTCAGGTCTGGGTACATTGTTTGCTCTACATTCCAGTCAGTCTCGCTATGCCCACGAAGTGTATATGGGTGTGGACTTACTCGAAGATCTCTTGTTCGCCCATAAAGCCGCCGCCTCGACCACCTCGACCGCCACCGCGCCCGCCCCGGAAGTCTCCTCCCCCTCTCCCTCGAAATCCGCGATCGCCACCACCGCGGCCACCACGGAAGTCACCTCGGGAGTCGAAGCCAGAGAAGGTGGCACCACCGCCTCCACGTCCACCGCCGCGTCCACCACCACGATCACCACGGTCCCCACCTCGCCCTCCGCGTCCTCTGCCTCTACCACGGTCTGACATACTGCTTTCTGAATATGTATCGGTGGAGGTAGGGTTAATAGAGTTCTAGTAAATCAAGTGGCTGAAGTTGGGAGATATGAATATAATATCCCCAACAAGCTGTGTTGAGTTGGTAATAAGAAGGTACTGGTTGTTGGTGACAAAGACTCGTGTGAATATTTATGTAGCTATCCAGATAGCTGCTTATGTCCAGTTAGGAATGATAGGAGTATTTACTCGGTAAGAAAACAGGCCTGTGAAAATAGTATGAGTTATTGGTCTTTATTAATTTGGCAATAAGTCAAGAGCCATAAGTGACAAACGGGAAAATGAAGTGTCTTTGGTAGGATAAATATTCATGTACGTGTCGTACGAAGAATCATTGTAGTGGCGAAAAGGGCCCTAGCAACAAGACAACCACACTTGTACAGATTGTCTGGAAGTTTGGCCTTGAAAGCTGATTAATGATGCTACCTAGGCATTTGGAAGATATGAGAGTCTGAAGTGTAGAAAACCTCAGGCTACTGTACTGAAGTGTTGTTTCACCTGGTTGGGTACATACTGGCTGTTGATGGTGATGCGGTTGTTGGTTGTATTGGTGTGGGCTTGGAAGCAAGCAAGCGTTGCGGGACACCTAGGCGCTCGTTACAATGTAACGAGCTTGATTTGGGCCAAGATACTATGTCCAAACAGTCAAACGAAGATAATTGAAGCTCAGATACTGAGGAATGGCTGCCTAGCAACTCTAGCAAGCAGCTTAAGGCGAATTCCAGCCAGGTTCACCCGTGATGTCCACAGATATATAGGATTCCTATCGGATGGTGATCTTATCAAGGGAAGGAAATAGAACAGAGAGGGACGGACAAGGTCATAAAAAGTGAGGCCCACCTTGCCAGCATACAGATCCATTAAAGAATGGCCAAGGTACATGTAGCTAAGCAGCTAAAGGTACATACAAATTACTCACCTAGGTACACTTATCTTGTAAATGGTAATGTTGTGATCGGGTAATACGTGCCATCCACCAGGACCTCTTTGCGTGATACTTAAGTAGGGAGGTACCTAGGTAGGTACGAGATAAGGAAGCACATTACCTAGCAATTCCTAAGTACATCTGTATTTCCTTGGTTTTCCTTTTATTTTTCTTCTTCCATTGATGCCTGTGGACTTAGGCGGTGTGCAACTCTCTCGTTTGTTATGGTGGCCCTCCGGCTTCGAAGACAACACCCCCGGGTCAAAAGTTCTAACTATTTTGGGTTTAATTGGGCGTTTTAGACCCGCCCATGCGGTTCTGACTTTAATATACCCCTGTCTCGGCTCACACCCTTGTCTTCCCCTACCGTTCATGGCTTTTCTTAGGCTCAGCCGTTCTGCATTAGAAACGTCATTATGTGCATAAAAAGAAAAGGAAGGGGTGTTTAGGAAGCAACACTTAAAATTTGAAGAGAATATCAGTACGGCCTCAAAATCATGTTTTATTAAGCGCTGCTAAACCTAGGTAGTTTTCTGTAAACAATGAAGGTACATGACATATAATAATAGTCCAGGCAAATTTATAAGCGCTCTTTCCCTTAAGGATCCTGGTACAGACAATCCATCACCCATTTTGCTTTTTCCTCAACAGGGGTTTCCATGTAGAAAAAGACGTGATGGCTAATTTGAGCATAAAATTTACGGTTTGGAATAAAATCTACCTAGAATAAACAAAGTATATTATATGTACAGCATATTAGCTAAACAATTCCATCTCAAAATATGACATGTTACTTTTTGCCAACGAAAACCCGTCAGCTTAATGCTACCATATACACCAAGACAAGTCAACTAAGTGCTAATAGGCCAACCAACTTTTAAGTCACCTTACACAAATGATAAAACCAATGATGCTAATAGTCTGAACTCCGATATATTAAAACTATAGATTACCCCTCAATTTTGTTTTCGTCATGGCGATAGCTGCCTAGATATATAACTGCAGGCTGTCCAAGTTGGGGGGAGAAAGAGGCGGGGCTGTAGGTGCTCGTCAAAACACACGCAATGATTGCAGACCTTGTGTAATCCATCCCGCATTCCGTCAAGCAAATGGCCAATTTAGGCAACCATGGGTACATTCTCAGAAGGGGAGCTATCTTCTACGTACCTGCGTACATATGTAAGGGATCACAAACGGAACTCAGCCTCAAAGACGCCCCGAGTAGCCCTATGCTATGTTGGTTGTCGTCTCGACATACAGTATGCATGCTGGATGGAACCCGAAGTCATTGCGCCACTTTTCCCTTTCCCTTCCCTTTTGCGGGTTGCTACTTTGAAGAGAATATCTTAGCGAGGCACCTTCTACTGAAGAGCCTTGTAGCACAACCAGTAGTTCCTCCAAACCATATGCTGACACGTAACCCCTCTGAGACATAATTGTTATCAGTCCTTTCTCGGTAGTCATCTAAATAATATAGAGCTTAATACAAATCTATATGTTCTAAGCCTTCTAGGATCATCGGGCGCTGCTCGGATCGATCCGTTACCCACTCCGTTACCTCCAGTTACCAAATTATGGGGGAAGCGGGGACCCTAGAAGGTAGAATACAAGTAATACTTTAGACCCCGAAAGAAACTCGAACTCGCCCCTTGTAAGTGCTACATATATACTGTATACCCCCTGTGCATACCTGCAAGTTCAAGCTCGTTTGCACGTGTTGTACAGCGCCTACATGAAGTTGTGAGTACCTAGTTGCAGCCGGTATGCATTCAACCGCCAGTATCGCTGGGATGTTATACTTGAAAAGGCAGTATTTGCATAAATTTCCTACGAACCGAAGCAAGCCACTGTAGACGTCGCCTCGATCAGCTAAAGATCGTGACTCATTCGAATTGCGTGGCATTCGGGCGAATATCTAAGTACCATTCGATCTCTTTCGACAATCATAGCTTTCCCCTCCACCTTTGTAGACCTACAGGGATAAATTCCGGATACGATGTAGGACATGAAGTGTTTTAGCGGCTTGTAGTTATCCAATCATCACTACTATTCCATAATGATTGGGGTGAAGTACCCCAGCCTTTGATGGGGAATATTCCGAATTAGCGCCCAAATCGAAATTCGCAGTTGCGAAATAGAGCTTACTGGGTGTAATATCGAAGAATCGCCAACGGCAATGGTGGGTTTGCGCGAAAATACTCGTCAATGAGCGGGGCCGAGTCATCATACGTGGGGATACCTTTCATTCAATACCTAAAGACTACTACTTCGCACTTCTTCCTATGTAGCCTTCGCAAATGGAATCTCGATTACTCACTCGCTATGATTACCTAGGTAGGTAAGATCAATAGAGAAGCCGGTAATGCTGTAGAAGATAGTCATCTCCATGATCTAAGCATGAGTGATGCGGCTTTAGACATACCGCTAAGAATATGGAAATTATACAGGCGTATGGTGTTGTAAGTTAGGTTCTTTAGCAGTCAACTCTAACTACCTAGGTAGTAACCCTAGCACATTTAAGCAAGCTACATGTATTACCCCTTTTAGCTTAATCCTAGTGCCCATGGCCGGCATAATGTCGGGACCTCTAGGCACATACTATTATATACCACAGATTCTAGTCCAACCATCACAGCCCGGTTAGCTCAATCGGTAGAGGTCAGTTCACATCTTCCACATCATCTAGTCAACATCATATACTGACGTATATCATAGCGTGAGACTCTTAATCTCAAGGTTGCGGGTTCGACCCCCGCATCGGGCTCAATTCCTGATGCATCTCTTCTAAAAGAGATATTTCGAACCATTTATTTTTTGGTATTTTTTTTTCCCTTCTGATCAGCTATAATGCTTTTTCCTATGTCACATTATTCTGATGTCGTGGAAAATGATACTTCATATCCATTCTATTTTTTATTTGCCTTCTACCTAATTGTCTGCCCAAACTCATACCCAAGTAAATAATACACGTTCTAATGGTAGCCGCCTATAAGGCTAGAAATACAGAAGCATTCTCTCCTGATTATTGCACTAAACACGGCTCGTCGAATTCAAATCAGATGGATTTCTCATGGCCGGCTGTAGCGACATCCAGTATTTCCTTCTCGAGCCCGGCAACGTGAACAAATTCAATGCCAGCAGCTTCCAACTTCCGCTTGCTAGAATTGGCACTGACAAACTTTTCCGGTTCATAGACTCCGGCGAAGACCGTCTTGATCTTGTTCCCTATTGCTAATATTCTATCCACGCATGGTAGATTTCCACTAAGCCTTTGAGAACATGGCTCCACCGTCGTGTAAAGAATGACACTATCTGGGAGTACTTCGCCTAGACGATCCGATGGGACGCTGTATTTCTTTGCCAATTTTTCAAAACAGCATTGTTCTGCGTGAGTATTGCCCGGAAGTTCCAGTGTGTAGCCAGTCGCCAATATCTCATTCGTAGCTGTATCCACCACGACAGCTCCGACACGGTAGTTGGTAGGTTTCGGCGGAGATATGGTGGCTAGAGATAGGGCAAATTCCATATATGATTGGTGATCTCCTGCCTCTAGGTTACTTGGTTCTGTATTTTCGGCCATCTCTCATTACTTTGGTAGTAAATTCCGTAAATTGATGAAATGATGGATATGGAGGTGGTACTGCGGTACTTCACATGTCGGTCCCGCCTTAAAGTTAAGGTGCGAACTCAAATGCCCGCCCCGCGAATTTAATTGGTAATCTTATCGATAAACCGCGTAGATTAGAAACGCGTGTAACGCGACTTTGGCCCTTCTTCATCAATTCATCATCCAGGGAATCACCAGCTTCTCGACCCAATAGTGCATCATTTAACTACTGATTAGCGACTGCCAATTATGGATGACTCGGATGATCTTCTCGCGGGTGAGCCGCCTGTCATTGACCCATACGAGGTTCTTGGCCTAGAACGTACGGCGGATGAGAGCCAAATCAAATCGGCTTATCGAAAGCTTGCTCTAAAGAACCACCCAGGTATGCATTCTATTCCACAAACAATAGAATTCGAGCGCTCAGACATGATATTATCTAGATAAGGTTTCCGAAGACAAAAAACAGGACGCCCATGAGACTTTCCAATCCATAGCCTTCGCATACGCCGTACTATCAGACCCGATAAGACGTAAACGATACGATGAGACGGGCTCGACCTCTGAGTCCATTGTCGACTCTGATGGCTTTAGCTGGTCGGATTTCTACCGAGAGCAGTTCCGCGATACAATCACTGCTGATGCGATCGAGAAATTCGCCAAGCAATACAAGGGTTCTGACGAAGAAAAAGATGACGTCCTGGTCGCGTATGAAGAACACAAGGGTAATATGGATGGAATCTACGAATCGGTCATGCTCAGCAATGTACTGGAAGATGACGAACGATTCCGCGCTATAATCGACGAGGCGATTGCCGAAGAAGATGTTCCCGCATTTAAGGCTTACACGAAGGAGAGCAAGAAATCCAAGGAGGCGCGAGTCAAGGCTGCGCGACAAGAGAGCACTGAGGCAGAGGAATATGCGAAGGAACTAGGTGTGCATGACAAGTTGTTTGGCGGCAAGAATAAGAAGGATAGCAAGGGGAAAAGCAAGAAGGGATCATCCGAAGATGATCTAGCTGCACTCATCCGCCAGAATCAGCAGGGTCGCAGTAGCTTCCTTGACAACCTAGCTGCTAAGTATGGTGCTGCGCCGAGTGGTAAAAAAGGAAAGAAGCGTACGGTCACAGAGGAAGAACCGTCGGAAGAAGCCTTTCAGGCTGCTGCTGCAAGACTGAAGAAGGGAAGGAAGAAATGAAGTCAGGTCTGATTTGGGTTCGGTTTGTTTTCTCACGGCGCATGGTAATGAGGCAAGCATCGGAAATTAGGGACAGGTACCAATTACTTTTAAACATTTTGCTATTGTCAGTTGCTTACTTCCAATGACTACAATAAAATAAAATAAATCATTCAATATACCAATAAAGCAAAAGGTGTAGTCTGTAGACCATGTGTTGTGTTTATTCTACAATCATTGAATGTTGGTATTGCCATGTGATAGCCCCTACCCACACTAGGTAGCCCTACATACAGGGGGTAGGTGCTGTCGGTAAGTGCTGTAATCCCCGATTCCAGGGATGTTACAGCCCTGGAGGCATTACCTGTACGTGATTAGTGGGTCATTACAGCTGAGCTAGAAGCTTTCCGCGCTGTCGCGTCTTCCAAACATTATTCTACCATTCTACCAACTACAACTTTTTAAGACACAACGCGGTAGTGTTGCTTTTTAGCAATCAACCCTTGCTACCAAAATGCGATGACAAGTGCTGAATCACTAGTGTACTATCCTGCGTATTGCTTCCACCTGTCCCCGACGATTAACAGATGGTGTCCCTTACGCGCTATCGACATTCATGACCTCGAGCGTCGACCTGGATTCGAAGGTAACCACAAATATTTACGCGCATCGCTAGAGTGATTTATAGCTTACCATGTTCAAGCCGACAATGTCTTCTTTTCCCTGAACCACCCTATTCGCTGGGTTCGAATAGTTGGTGTTGTCCTCGCGATCGACGAATTTTATGGCCACCGAGTCTATACGGTTGACGATAGCACTGGTAAGTGCGTCGAGTGCTGCCTAGATATTCCGAAGCCAGTCGATAGCCGTACCAAAAACAGCGAAAGTCATGAAAATGACGCTGTTGAGCCTCCACCCGTCGCGGAACCTCAGAACGATATCGATATTGGGATGGTCGCCGAATTTAAGGGTAGCACGAAGATCTTCAGAGACCAGAAGCAGATACATATCCGGAAGATGCAGAGAATAAGGTCTACGAATCAGGAGGTCCAGTTCTGGAACAAGATTCGTGACTTCAGGAGAGAGGTCATTAGCCAACCTTGGGTGTTGGACAGGAGAGAGGTGCGCCGGTGCAAGAAGCAACACATGATGGATGTGGACGCCGAAGAAAGAAAAGAGGCGAGGACGAAGAAAAGAAAAGACCATAAGAGCGATGCTGATGGGGTAAATCAGAGTAAAGAACGTAAGGCTAAGGTCAGGGATTTGAGAATTAAGCCTGCGAAAACGGAGCGCTTGATTACGTCGGAAGATAGAAGTCCAGTCACCGAAGAACAATATGATGCGTTAGGACTATGAAGAGATATGCGTAACTATTCATGTGAACACTCAGCCCTTGTTGCTTCACGTTTAAGCATATTATACACATGCTGCCAGATGGATCTAATATTCAGGACAAGTCTCAGCTTGGTGTTAAACAACATGAGAATATCGAACCTCAGGTCGAAATACACTTACGCCATGACTTTGATATCTGACTACTGACATTGACAAAGATACTAGGGTATTTATATTACTTTACTGCTACCTCTACTCGATATTGTTGGAATTTCTCGGTCATACCTCTCGTGGTATAATCATTATAGGACTACCAAGGTGGGGCCATCGAACCTACCCCATCCACTAAAACAGACTCCGGGTTATAACTTACCAACGTTACTTACACACGAGTGTATTCTCATAAGTCCTCCAGTAACGGCTTCTAAAGTTAGACTTCAAGAAGGCACGACTCCTTACAATATATAGGTGAGTAATTACAGAAGCTGCGAAGGCGTTTTTTGAGTAGTCGATCATGTGTACGTACTTGATGTAGGATCCAGCTCAACCTTTTTTTTTTGTCTGACGCGGCCATCATTAATACCAATTCCTCACAACAACTTTTTCTCCCTTACAGACACAAATCCTAAAGACCTAGAACCACCACCCAAGAAGGGGTAACATAGTATATCTCCGTATTCATAGCTCCGATATTCCTATTTTATATACCTACTTTCGAACAAATCTCGCCCTACTACAACGCAGCATCTCGCAGCTCCTAGCTTTCATTCCAGTAAAACTTCTGGACTCATCTGTTTGTTCCCACTCATCATATAGGTAGGGTCCTTCAGCCCCTATTCAAGACAACACATTCCACTCGTCATGAACTCTACACATCACTTAACATCGGTGATCATGATTCAACCGTCGCCCGGTGCACCGATGTCATTCTTCACCTCACATCGAGTCAACCCAACATGTCATTCAATCCAAGAATATATACAACTCGTTCACTATTCATGGACTCGATCATGAGGCTTCATATACCACAACTAAAACTGCTCTTGCTATCACTATACCACTACAAGTTCTTTTGCTTTTACTCTGGAACCGTATATCTACCTTGGTGTATTATGCGGCAATACGATATCACGGCAACACAAGTTTTCTTTTCAAGTCGAGTGCTGGTTGCTCGGAATACCCTCTATTAAGCAAACCAATAAAAATCGCTAAGAATAAAATCCTTTCTCCCTCTACTCCCTTCCCCTAAAGCCGTGATGAGGTTGTATTGGATACTGACACTGGTCCAGGTCCAACCCATCCTGGCAGCCCGATTCTGGGTCCCAAAGGGTCAAAGCAGGTTTTACCGCCAATACGGACTGATAGTACGAGAGGCTTTTCAAGAGAGCTCCTCTCCTATTTCGGAAAACAGAGATTCTCGCCGTGAAGGTTACCAGCCTATTCCTGTAACTACCAATCTTGCACCTTCGGCAAGTTCGCAGGCCTTGCCTCCATTATCTGGCCCTGAGCCTAGCACAACCGGTACTATTGACATTGTCTCCAACACAGTTAACAGTGCAGGAAAGACATCATTTCCGACTAATTCAACGCCTAACCAAACAGCAATTACCGCGCCATCTGGGCTTGAGGCAAACCAGTCAGACACGTCTACCATGGCTCCATCAGATATTTTCGGGACGCCAATCGCAACTAGCCCCCCTGCGCCTTACTTCCCAGTCCAAAAAGACCACCCCCGTCCTCGAACTGGTATCAAGGGCTCTCCGCCAATAGGCACGAACAAATTCTACGCCAACTTCTTTCTCGCTAATCAGACGCAGCCCACATACGTCCACCCGTATTCAATCGTTTGGTCGAAGGGTCAGGGGGCCTCGTCCAGCTGGGGGTTGGCGATCTCACATATCGAGGCAAACCAGAGAGTCTATGGTCCACCTTCAAACGACACGGGAGCCGCTCAATATTTCCTAAATCCCGTTGGTATTCATTCGCTATGCTTGTCAGCGGCGGAACTTGGGCCAAGTACTAATTTGACTACCGATAACCTGTCTGCACATTCAGCCAACGTCAATCTGCATGCTGACGCCAAATCGAAACCCTTAATCACATTTCCATTAGTGCAAGGTATGGCGTTCGTTACAGCCGTCTATAAAGGGAGTACTCCGGTTATCAACACCGGCGTCTACTTCAAGACAGTTACGAAATCGATCAACGGGCCGAAGGAAGGTATGACCAAATACACGTTGTACCTAGAAGATAGCACGGTCTGGCATGTGTATGCCTATTCGGCTAAAGGTGACACGTTTGATCTATCGGTGGTCAACAACAAAATGGCCAAGGCCGAGAAACCATACGACGGCATCGTTCAGGTTGCAAAAGACCCCGGAAACGGTGCCGAGACCGCAATAGACGCTGCATCTGGGGCATACCCGGTGAACGTTACACTCTCTGGATCGACGTCCGGTTCGAAAGGCACCTATACATTTACCTTCGAGAAAGCGGGATTTTCGAACGTCAAATTGTTGATGTACGCTCTACCTCATCATGTTGATTCCTTTGACAGTGCCACGCATAGTAGTAAATCGAAGGCGCAGCTGCAAACTACCACAAAGGGTATGGCGGTAGGAGTCGTTGCGGATTCGTGGACGATGGTCGAGCCTAATATGCCCGTCTCGATGGGATTCGCTCCCTGGCATCCTGTTGACGGCGAGAAGAAAGCTTTGAGTGACTCAGCAATCAACCATATCACCAAGGTAGCCGCGAATGAAGCGGGTCAGAGTGTGGATCAACAATCGGACCAGAATTCAATGTACTTCGGTGGGAAGGTAATGTTATAATCTCACTAACATATGGCTTCTATGAATTGCTGACGTTTTGAGTAGGCGCTCGCAAAATTCGCTGGAATCTCTTTCGTATCGAAGGATTTATTAAAGAACGAGAATTTGGCTCAGAGTGGATTGAAAAACCTACAAGCTGCTTTTAGCCGTTTTGCAACCAACAAGCAGCAATTTCCATTATACTACGATAGTAAGTTCCATATATGCCTGAAGTTTTGGCTTAGACTGACGTTGTAAGGTGCTTGGGGAGGCCTAGTTTCTTCTGCGACCTACCAAACCGGGAACGAGGGTGCGGACTTCGGCAATACTTACTATAACGACCATCATTTCCATTACGGCTACTTCATATACGCCGCCGCCATCATCGGCTACCTTGACCCCTCCTGGCTCACCAAGGGCAACGTTGACTATGTAAATACACTAGTCAGAGATATCGCCAATCCCTCTCATTTGGATAAGCACTTCCCCGTTTCTCGCAATTTTGACTGGTACCATGGCCACAGCTGGGCTCACGGCCTCTTTGAAACCGCCGACGGAAAGGTACGCGTTCCTAACGATACAATTCACAGGTTTAGTAACACTAAACTGTTATATAGGACCAAGAGTCGAGCTCGGAAGATGCGATGCATGCCTATGCCATCAAGATGTGGGGGAAGACAATCAAGAACGCGAATATGGAAGCTCGGTAGGTTGCTGTCGCCGTCTACTGTTACTTGAGAGGCTAATATGTTGCGCTCCGAAGGGGTAATTTGATGCTAGCCATTCTCGCCCGTTCTTTGAACAAGTATTATCTCTATACCGAGGAAAATGACGTCCAGCCTCCAGAATATGTTGGAAACAGGGTTGCTGGTATTCTATTCGAAAACAAATGTGATCACAACACATATTTCGGATCGAATATCGAGTATATCCAAGGCATCCATATGATACCGCTTCTACCAAGTACGAGGCTCACTCGATCCGCTAAGTTCGTAAAGCAAGAGTGGGCGACGTACTTCGATAACGGAAGAGCCGACAACGCTGAAGGAGGTTGGAAGGGGATTCTCTACGGCAATTTAGCTACCGTTGACCCCAAGTCGGCGTGGGATTTCTTCACGAGGGAGGACTTCGATCAAATGTGGCTGGACGGAGGCGCCTCGCTGACGTGGTACCTGACGTACTGCGCAGGTAAGTTCTGGCCAACTTTGTTTTCGAGGTACAGAAAGGCTAATAGTACTCTAGCTTTCATGTGATCATTTAGCGATTCTCATGATTTCCATGGGACATAGACGACGCTCACTGGATGAGCAGTGGAGATGGCTGGACATATCGAGGGCCTTGATGGCCTGTTGAGTTACCTATCACTGTGAATAATACCTACGAGTAGAATGGATATTTGGGGGGTTAGGGGGTAATGGAATTAGGCCAGATGCTGCGTATAGATTTCAGAATACCAAGGTACCAATATTGTTTGCATTCTTACCAACATAAGCCTTCCCCTAAGCCCCACGGCATACTATTTTCTCCTTTCCGAAGTGACGGGATGAATTGGGATGTATGACAAAGGCCCAAGTCCTTCGACGCCTCGCGGATGACCCGGATGGTGATGGTTGGACTTAGAGTAGTGACGGTATCATATGGCTACCTGCCTTAGCGTTTAAACATATTGACCTAGTATATGCCGCGCGTAATGAAAGGTTCCGTCTCTTAACCAGACGATAGCTGAGCCTACCTCTTTGGCTTCGGAAAACTGCATCTTCGTTACATGTACTGTATGTAGCGGTTTAGGTTTTTACACTAGACCCCACGTTTTTTCCCTTATCACACTGCCGGAATACCTTAGGACTAACCTTTTCGGTAAGCTACATACCTAGCTCCAATGTCGTAGCCTTTTACGGTACGGTACAGTATAAGTCACTTTTTGGCCCGCTTATCTAGATCTAGGTACTTCACAGGGAGGCCTCCTCTGATCATTCCCTTCGGAGAAGTTTCAACTCCTAATTTCCAAGATTGTTTCCCGCCATATTCGGGGCACAGCCACAATGAGCTGCAGTTTATCACTTCTGCCAAGACTTATACTATGTACTCTCTACGTAACTACTCATTAATCGCGCTTCATACGAAAGCCATTGGCTTTCACAGTTTGTGCTATCGTATTTCCCTGCTTGCAATTTCTTTTCCGAACCCGGAAATTTCCCAGAATTGTTTCATCTTCTTGTTCAATTGAGAGCTCAACTTGGGTCAACCTTCTTACTTACATCCATCGGAAACATATACGTAGCTATCTCTAGTTTCAAAGCTCCGCACCCTGCCGGAACTAGAGATTCGTGCTACTTGGTATTTACGTACCTTACTCAGAACCCTTGTTAGTTAATCCCTGGATGTACCCCTAAGCTCGTGCCACGTTTTACCTGCAGACCGGTTGTTGCGCAGCATTTCACCTCCCGAGTTTTCTTGACCGTGTCGAAGTGGAGTAAACTAACTAAATACCTACCTAGGTAAGCTCAGCGCTAGCTTAAGAATTGGAACAAAACGACGTCAACCATTTACCGTCAAGGTCAACAAAGAATTTATTTGAAAATAATATGGGATGATGGATGTCTGACTAGTTTTTATTTTAGGTTAACATATCAAGAAGAAGAAGAAAATAGGACGAAAAAAAGAAAAATAAAGTTCAATTGACGTGCCTTGGCGAGTCCAAGGATTTACCCTACTCGATTCTTCCTTCAATTCAAGTACCTATTACAACATTGAATTCACCAAGAGCTCCCAAGACGGGCGAACAAGCAAAAACAGGCCAACACCAAGTCAGGAACAGGTCAGCCAAGCTACCGGATTAGGGACTACTACGACTCGCTCAGAGTGTATTTCTATTTAGCATTCTTAGTCAACCTTCTTCGCTAGGGGGAAAAAAGAAAGGGAAGATACAAAGGGTGTTTGGATCTTGTCTGCGCCTCCACGCATCCTGTACCCCAAATATTACTGCACTTTTGAACTGTCGCATACAATTTTCGGGGGAAGAAAGGACAATCCCCAATGGCGTGTAAGTGCGGATTACTTTTTTCTACCTGTCGGTTTCGGGCTTGATGATACCTATACATACCCAATCGCACACCCAAAATTAGTCACCTGCTGTTTTCCTCCCCTCTCTTATACTGTTTTGCGCCAGCTTCGTCTCTCTGCACGCACGCGCGTCAATTCATTAGAATATGTGGTGGTTGTCGACACGGAAATTTTGATATACCGGCATTGCTATAAAAACATACCTAGATATAATACTGTTAGCTGACCATGACGCGCGACGATGGATCGCGATACAGCCGATTTATTACCCAGTTTCCGCGCTCAAGTCCGCAAGACATTTACTTATTCAAGTCACGACCGTCCCCGAGAGAATGGAGGTATCAGCGATGAACGTACTCCTTTAATAGGAAATGGAAATGGGTCTGCTACACAGAATGGGCGTAACGAGATTTGGAAATTCTTTTTCGATTCGCATGATACACCGGGTCTCGGCAACTCGAAGCCATGGGTGAAATATCCGGCGCACGTATGGCACGTCACCAAGGCCACTTTATTGAGCAGTACGTACACACCCAATCACTACCGAACCAAACAAAAATTCCGGGGTAACAGGGTTGAATTTACTAAGTGGGATATCGATTGATATAGGTCCTGTGAATATTCTTCTCGTCACTGTACCAATTGGTATTATTGCTGGTCAAGCCGGTTGGGATCCAGTGGCGGTTTTTGTGATTAACTTTTTCGCCATTATCCCTCTCGCAGCCGTACTATCCTTTGCGACAGAAGAGATCTCGGTAAAGCTGGGCGAGGCTCTGGGTGGCCTACTTAATGCTACATTTGGTAATGCGGTGGAGTTGATTGTAAGGCTTTCGGCCCCCAACCCACTATTACATGCATCCATGGATCTATCACTTTATTGACCACATCCCCCCTGCAGGTTAGCATAATCGCGTTAAGGGACAGGCAGATCGAGGTTGTTAAGTCGTCGATGATTGGCTCGGTTTTGTCGAATCTGCTGCTCGTTATGGGTATGTGTTTCTTCTTCGGCGGAATCGTCAATATGGGAGGAGGGGATGGTGCCGGCCAAGAGCAAACCTTCCAAGGTATCACTGCCCAAACGACAGCCTCGTTGATGACTTTATCTGCTGCTTCTATGATACTACCCGGCACTGTAAGCGTTCCTTCCTTATTACTAAGAGCCCCATGGAAACTAATGTGAGGGACTAGCTATTCATGATCATCAATAATAGCAATAAGGGATCTGATGAAGAGCGCAATGGGATCGTACTCTCCCTTTCCCGTGGCACAGCGATTATCCTATTACTTCTTTATGTTTTATATCTTGTCTTCCAACTGAGAACACATCATAAACTATTCAGCGCCGAAGCCCAGAACTCAAACGCATCCCAGTTGCCCACCGAAGCGGCAGCAGCGGCTGGAAATGTACGATCCGCGACAATTGTGGAGACCCAACAGCCGGAAGAGGAAGAGGAAATACATATGAGCCCGTGGTCAGCTGCTGCGGTACTCATTGTCGTAACCGTCTTGATTGCTCTGTGCGCCGATTACCTGGTGGATAGCATAGACGCTCTCGTCGAACGTGCTCACATTAGCCGAAGCTTTATTGGTCTTATCTTGATTCCTATCGTTGGGAACGCGGCGGAACATGTCACCGCCGTCGTGGTGGCTGTCAAGAATAAGATGGACCTTGTAAGAATTATTCTTGGGTATTCGGGTACAACGAGACTAACATATGACACAGGCATTGGGTGTTGCTATCGGTTCCAGCATCCAGATTGCTCTATTTGTAACACCATTCCTTGTTATCCTTGGATGGATCATGGACAGGGAAATGGATTTGCATTTCGAGACTTGTGAGTTGATTGATATGGTTGGTATCATTTTCATTGTTGCTAACACGATATAGTCGAAACGGTTGCGTTTGCATTGGCTGTTTTGGTCGTAATCTACACAGTTCAGGATGGAAAGTCCAATTACCTCGAGGGCGCTATGGTAAGTCTTCTATTCCCCTATTACATAGCTGCTTTCGGTGCTAATGTCGCTTCAGTTAATGGCCCTCTACGTCATTATCGCACTCGCATTTTTCGTTACTCCTAGCCAGTACTTCAACACCGATTTGGTTGTTGGTAAGCTTAGCAACGTTATCGGGTCAACATGATCGATCTCCTATTTTCTTAACAGCCCTTGAAGGGCGTTATAACTTAACCCAACTACCCAAAGCAGTTCGCTACTCGAACTACGTTTAACCACCCGACGTATTTATTAGTAGTGTATATCAACGCATAGCGCTACAAGTAGTACGCGTACGGAGCGCCTCCGAAAGTCATTTTTTATGTCCTCTTTTAGGCGTTATGTTCTTTGTTTTATTAGTGTACAATACTATGGATAGGTCTGAAAAAATGAGGTCCCGGGTTTTCTTTCCGGAGTTCGGGGAATATCACAATTGGAATACAGAGAACACAGGTTAAGAGTCCCCTGAAGTTAAGGCTTGTAGCACTTGAGGTAGGCAATAGACTTAGTGTATGTCTCTGAACTGATTTGAGTTTCTTGTGATACAGTAACCCAGCTCGGTCTGCCGGTGTTTACTACCCGAACATCTGAAGCTATCGATCGATAGCGGATTGATGCCCCAATTTTCATCGGCTAGATCCCCGTAAATGCGGGGCTGGAGGGGTAGCTGTCACAAAACGTCATTGTAACCTTAGTCCATTGCGTCTTTCTTAGAGGGGAAGCAGCTTTATACTGGTTTATCCTGTCATGTTGATTAGCAATCATTGATACGTTTACTGTAACTCTTGTCTTCGACAACTACGATACCTCCACCCTATGTCTTGTTTCCGTACTTTGTTTAGGATACCAACAAGATCGTATACTCTAAATACCCCAAAGCAATTCATAGGTAGGCACTTTCGTATCTTTAGACCATCCAAGGGTTATATATGATGTAGATATCTAATTGTTTAATTCTATAGGCGTTTGGCGCACATTCGCAACCATGGCGTCAACTACGAATACAAACAACTACAAGTTCAACCACTCTATGTAAGCCTACCATAAACCATGTCTAAAGAGAAGTAAGCCGCTAAATATGGTGACACCAATCGCAGGCTCCGAGTGAAAGACCCTAAAGCATCTGGTATGCCACACCCACCATACCCACTAGCAATCACAACACCATAAGCTGACGTTTATACCCGTCGGCAATAGTCAAATTCTACGAATTCCTCGGCATGACCGTAGTCAAGCATCTACAATTCCCCGAATCCAAATTCGACCTCTACTTCCTAGGCTACGACAGTCCATCCGCGCACTCGCACGGGCGGAGTACATTCGACCGTCAAGGGCTTATCGAACTCACGCATAACTACGGCACCGAAGACGATCCCAACTACAAGATTAATAACGGAAACGCGGAGCCCCATCGTGGGTTTGGTCATGTGTGTATTGCGGTAGACCATATTCAGGCGGCGTGTCAGAGGATTGAGGATGCCGGGTATAGGTTTCAGAAGAAGTTGACGGATGGGAGGATGAAGCATATTGCGTTTGCACTGGATCCTGATGGGTATTGGGTTGAGGTTGTTAGTTTGAGGGCGGGGAGTAAGGGGGCGGATGATCCGGAGGAACAGGGGGTTACGACGGATGTGACGACGTATAGAATGGTAGGCTTTTTCTTGTTGTTGAAGCGAAGAGAGGGTGTTGTGAATGAAATAGTTGCTAATGATGGAGCAGAACCACACGATGATCCGCGTCAAGGACGCCGAGAAGTCCCTTAAGTTCTACCAGGAGGTTCTGGGCATGACTCTGTTCCGTACTGTTGAGCAGCCCGCTGCGAAGTTCAACTTGTACTTCCTCGGGTACCCCGGCGAGAAGGGCCTTCCCGAGGGCGGGTTCACGGCCGATTATGAGGGTTTGTTGGAGTTGACGTGGAATTATGGTACCGAGAAGGATGAGAACTTCAAGTACCACGATGGTAATTCAGAGCCCCAAGGGTTTGGACACATTTGTGAGTTCGTTTTCCCGTTCTTGGGGGGCATTGCTAACTGAAGTGGTAGGTGTCTCGGTTGACAGCCTCGATGGTGCATGCTCGAGATTCGAGAGCCTAAATGTCAATTGGAAGAAGCGACTTACGGATGGGCGCATGAAGAACGTTGCCTTCGTACTTGACCCTGACGGATATTGGGTTGAGATCGTTCAGAATGAGCGTTTCTCTGGACAGGAGAACTTCTAAATTCAATAGGACTCAATCAAGTTTACCATGATCTTCAGCACGTAGTATCAGATGCGGTGGCAGTAGGAGAAATAGTAAAAGTAGTATTTAATGAATAAATATCAATCAAATTCTGGATTAATACATAATAATTTATACGGTTGTGGTTAATATATACTTGATTCCCAACGGTGGGTGCGTGGTGTTTTGGTGCATGTTTAAGGTGGGAAGAAATGCCTAGAGATGACCTGGTATATATAAATTTGGCGAATACCGGATCCTGCTGATGAACTGCGTTGATGAACTGCGTCATTGATCATCAAGGTCCTCATTTCGCCGCGACCTAGGACATCGGCTCGCCGGTTTGATTTTCCCGGCTACCGTGTTCTCGTTCCTCGTCCTCAATCCTCTGTCGCTCGGCCTGTTCTCTTTCCCTCTCTTTCTCCTTGAAGAAGGCAAGCAGGCCTATATCATATAATATCTTCAAGCCTCCAGAGCAGAGGAAAGAAACCCAGAACAGATTCCGGTCGACTAGGACACCGGTTAGGATCGGACCGAGGCTCTGGGCGGTGGTTTTGACTACGTTTACGGTGCCCATGACAACCGTCCGCTCTTCGGGTAGGACGATGGCGGCGAGAAACGCGGCACGGGGCGCGCTGTCCATTGATTGGGTGCTGGAGTTTAGGATGAGGAAGAGGAGGGCGAGGTGTATGTCGCTGGGAATACCGAGGAGAGCGCGGAAAATTTGGGAGGGGAGGTGTGTGAATACCATGGTCTATATTATTATGAACGAATATTAGCGTAAGCAACTAGTCTTATACCTAAAACGTGATGGGTGGGATGGGACTTACGTTGACGTTACCAAATCTTTTCGCGAGAGAGGCGGCGACAATCAGGGAAGCGCCCGCTATTAGTTGTGTAACGAAGAAAATTGTACCCAGCTTTCCCTCGTCAATGTTGAAGTGATCCTTGAAGTAATACGTTATCCAAGATCTGATTCTGGTTAGTCATATCGTAGGGAACCGGAAAGTTTGTTACTTACAATGGCGCGAGCCCAGAGCCGAAAGAATCTAGAGCAAAGAGGAGGCATAGTGTAATAACCACAGGAACGCTCTCCTTGCTGATATCTGGGAACCATCTCCGCCTAGGAGGCGGATCAGCAATTGAGCTCTGCTCTAGTAGCGGTCTTGTCTCGTCATTTCTCGCGCGGCTCTGCTGCTGTTTCTTCTCCGATTCCACGCGATGACTCAAGAAGACAGTAAATGTTAACTTCAGTAGCCCGAGAATTGCGTATCCAATGTAGACGGCTCGATACGCGCGTACAGAGTCCCACTCTAATGTCTCAGTCAAATGCTGAAGAACCCATCCGCAAGTGATGCTGCCACACGCAGTTCCCACGTTTCCCAAAAGACTGTACCAAGCGTAGACATCGCTTCTGTTCTTAGGATCTGTCAAATGAGCTACGATGCTCTCTTCAATCGCTCGGAACGGACCGATCTCATTGCCACTAGATCCTTGTATCAGCAACTTCATTTCCACCCGCGCGGCTCGCAGCGGGGTCAGCCACTCACCTCGGACTTATCACCCCAACCACCGCCGCCACCAGAAGAACCCAGTAATTGTCAAATAATGCGAATACCACCCCGCTGGCTGTCATCAACAAGGCTCCGAGGCCCAAGACGGCTCGACGACCTAGGGCGTCAGCGAATAGCGTTAGGATGAAGCTGATGCATATGTCACCGACTAGAGTTAATGTCATGAAAAGTCCGATGGCGGCCTTCGGGACGGATAGTGCGGAGAGGTAGGCTACGAGGACCAGTGTTGATGCGCCGTATGCAAACATCCGTACGAAGCGCTGCAGGCAGAGTAGTTTGACGTCATGAGATGAAGTGTACATCGAAAGAAGGCCAGTCTCCTCAAAGATTCGCTTAGAGATGCCTCCGTTATCGCTTTTTGGAGCTGCGGCTGAAAGAGGAGGAGCGTCCATGGTTTCGATTTACTTCGATTTTGCCCAAATTGAAGCCCAAACTGAAGGGTGGCTTACGGCGGAGGTGGAGGAAAAAAAGTAAAATATCGTAGCCCGGTCCAAAAAATGGTGGTATTTTATGCACAGCCCAGCTATATATCGTCACGTCACCGAATAGCCTCGCAACGAAAGTGCACTTTTTTCTTCGGCATTTGGACTCTACGACATGACTCGATATGTTGTTAACAATGAGGCATTTTTTACAGTCCATTCAATATATCTTTTCTGCCACTTCATGTTTCAACAAACGGCGGTGGGTGACACAGTCGAATTAGCTTCCTCCTCACATCTTCGCTACCATAGCTATTCACGATGTATCCTTCACTCCAAAGAAGAAAAGAGCCGCAAGAATATGTATTTAGTAGAACAATCACCTAGGTAATTTCAGCCAAGAGAGCGATAGAACTGCAAAACACAGTACAGATACACCCAACTCTACAATGAGCGGCGACAACTTCAACAAGAAATGCTTGGATTACTTCATACAAAAGTATGGAGAGAGAATTGACGATTGGTCTCGTGACAATGATTGGTCCTTTGGTAATGATCAATCCAATATCGTTGTGAGGCCCTAGGTTCTGACTCTGCTATAACAGAACTTTCGCATCATTATCACTTCCGCGCACCTACACGACCGAAACCATACGCTCTCCCAGAAGGCTTGGATTCCAAAACCCTTCCATACTTAGTGAATGACCGACCATTCTACTTCGCTTGCAAAGTTTTGGGCGACGATCCCATATCGACAAATTCGTTGGTCTTGGGATGGTATCTCTGGGAGGCGTTCGGCACACGCCCGACAGAGTTCCTCGAGCTATATATGTCCCTCAAGAGCAAGGCCATCTCTGACGAAGTTGGCTCGAATAGGCCCGTTGAATTCACATTATGCACGATCTTACAGAAAATATTTCAACCCGGGTCCAGGCCAACTCTGGAGTGGTTTTATTTGAAAGTCTCCGATTTGGCCGGAGGTACCCAACATCAGAGTTATCATAAGGAATTTCAAACGATGAAATCGAAACTTGAAGATTTGAGGAATGGCTTGGAAAGACAAGGCTTTGGTGATTATTCATCGTCCATTCTCGACACTACGTTGTATTACTTACTACATAATAGGCTCTACATGGACAACAAGGAATAACCCGCCAGGCTCTAACTGGGAAACATACAACGACAGATATAATCTCCCACTCTTCAATGGGCTTTGTCAGTACATATGGTCCCAACGTGAAGGCCAAGTTCGAAAATTACTCCAATCCTTTGAGAAGATACCTGACCAACGAAGCCCTATCCAAAACTTCAAGGGAGGTTTCTTGTCTATCAATATTACAGAGAATGGGGGGATTAGAAATACTAACAACCCCCAATACGAGGATTGGGGATTATACCTTATGACATCAAACGATGCAGAGGCCGAATCGAATCAAGGAAACGCTTTGGTAGAGCCTATACGACGTTCGGCGCCTCGTGGGATACACCCGGCACTTGAGGATCTCATAGAGTGGGAGACTGCTGGTCTACCATTCGAAAAATGGGATCATGGGTGGGATGAGGGGTACGGTCATTTCTTAGGATCCAAAACAGACGCAACGGCACTTCTTGTAGCTTGGTGGTGCCTTTTCAACCTGTGCAGGGACAAGGAAAACCTCACTCTGTGGACTTCATTGCAGAATACTTCTTCCGCACAGCATGGTATTTCCAACGCTGTGTATCGTCTCAGTCGACTGGTCCCCTGTAACGATGATTTTCTGTATAGCGTTTGTCGTTTCAGGGGCTGGGACAAAATATTTGTTCACGAAAGTCAAGCCGTCTCAAGTAACCCAATCGTTAAGGCTTATCAACAACATCTAATCATCTTCGGCTATGAACTCAGGCCAGGCGATGATCGGGAACATGCACCCACCCACGATAACTTCGACGATATTACCAACGAGGAAAAGTTTGGGAAAACTCTGCACGATCACGTTTTGTACGTGCTCAAGAAAGCGCACAAGTCTCAGCAACCTCATTGTCGTATCACGGCGCACCCGTTCTTTTTTCGGACCCGAAAGTCATCGAGATCCCTAACCGAGCTTCTCAAAAAGAACGATTGGGATGAGGTACGTAGGGTCGTAGTTGAATGGGACCTTTTCACGAAGTCTGAACTAAAAACGATCAACAATGGCTGCGTTTTCTTTTTCGGCCGGTTTCGCTGGGTCACCATTTTCGCCGAAGAGCTTTTATGTCTCTCATCTACTACTAAGGGTCGTCTTACGGCGGAGGAATTCAGTACCACCAGTTACGGAATTGTAGGAGAGATAAAGAGTAGCTTCAAGCAGTGGATAAGGCGCATCAAAGATATGGCATGGGCTAATGATCTCTTCCGGATAGCGATTTACACTGAGGTCTTCGGCGTCTTCGAGGATACAGAGGACATTGAAACCACTACGATCGAAACTACAGCCCAGTCGATTCTGACAAGTCTTTCATTGGGAGATACGTATGTTAGCATGGCCAAGCAAGGCCCCCAAGTCTTGAGGGATTACCTTGGCGAACCCCTGTTTCTTAGAGCGGTTACGGAGCACCTCCAGGAATCAAAAAAATACGGTAGCCTAATGGAATGGCTAAGAAAGATCATGGGGGGGAAATCCCCAAACAAGTTGCTTAAAGGAAAGCTATCTGAGCTCATAATTGCAATAGTAAGTATCCTACCTTAACTTACAAGTCTATTGTCCTGATATGTTATAGAAATTGGATCGCATCTTGCGCCTGTCGAGCACTGCAACTGACAAAGTTAGCATCGGTCAACTGCATCGCAGAAGTTTCTGGAAAAAACTGCTGGATGCAAAGCGCTGGAATTTGAATTCAAAGGCTTGGATATCTGTTCGCGAAGAACATGTCGATCTGGACTTGTATGAGCTACAAGACGCAGGGCCTTCAGATCCTATCCCATCGCACTCCGTCCGAAATATAAAAGAGTGGCTTGCCGAACAAAAACGATCAACGTTCCTATTTCCTGATAAAGGCGACGGAACGAACTTGCTTTTTTTCTTGCGACGAAAGTCGGGTAGTAGCAATGACCGCCCATCATGGCCAGAGATACTCTGTTCGATACGGGTAAGTCATCATCAACTTCGTTTTTAATACCCAGATACCTCCTAGATATATGCTTACGCTGTCCCACAGCACATGCCTAGCACACACCCTAAAGATGAGGATGTCTCTAAGATTCCTAAGATGTTCAACGCCGAGGGATTGGGGAGTGGCCAACGAGGCTGGCCCGTGATCCATATTTTTGTTGCCAACAAGGTTAGCATTTGGGAAAACGCATGTGACCAAGCGCTGAAAGCAATGCGACCGACCGCCCCGCAGATTTCTAAGACGCTCCAAATCGAGAAGTTACCTCTGATAATCGAACGTGTGAACGGCCGAGTCCAGATAGATGAAATCTCACTCAACAGGACATTGGATGCACTGAGAACTGAGGCTAAGGCCCTAGAAACAAGTCTACAAGCCGGCGTTATCCCACCTAATCTTCCGCTGATAGACTCCGAAGAGAACAGAAAAAAACTAGGGAGTTTCGTTAGGCCGCCCCCTCAACCCCAGGGTGACGAGGGAAGATTAAAGTATGACGACTTTGTTTGCTACGTCGACTCGAACAAAATATGGGGAGAATCCTTTCATGATCTTATGGAGCTCATGGCGAGAACACCTTCACAATAATCTAGCCTAAGACCTACACTTTCGGGTTCTTTTAGATAACGGGCTTTTCGGTATTAGGGTATACCTAGCTAGTACATTCATTTGATATCTCAATGCAGAATTTAGACCTCTACGTGCAACAACATATCCTCATGATAATTTAAGTACTCGTCTAGGTCGTATGGCAATCTCGCTCGGCTGCGCGTCACTCGTGGCCACACGAGAACACAAGTTGACGGTGTAAACGTGTGGGTAGACGGATCATGTTCAGGCGTGTAATCGCCAACTTAGGATCTTCTTCACGTCACCACGATCAGTGATGGGCGTAATGAAAATGTAGAAAAGACAACAAAAATTATGAGACTTGGAATGCCAGAGGCATCGCCAAAGGACGGTCAGCTCCACGTTGTGCAATGCAGGCTTCCCATCCTCGCTGTGCGTGTTTTTGATCTCGCAGCGGCGGACTCAAGGTAAGTTTGAGGAGAAGAAAAATCATGACTGGAGGGGCAGAGAGCTCGACTTTTATAGCTACGAATATGGGTCACAGGGCGGTGTGGATTTACTGCCGCACCTTCTAATTACTTGCTACAAGTTGCTTAGTAATTTTGAAGTTTAAGGAAAATTAGTGGCTTACCTGCCGTGTTTACGGCCTACCTAGGTACCTAAAACTATACTGAAACTAGGTACATACGTATTTTCTCAGCAGGAAGGCGTTGGTGGCTTATGTACCTAGGTAGGTGCTAAAATCGTATTAAAGCTACTGCTATCCTGCCTTCCAGCGATTAAAGCCTATATCGGAAGTGCTTATTCTGTTTATCGGTCAAATCCTCGAAGCCTTCTAGTAGCTCTTCCTCCACTGCTTCAGCGCGTTGACCCAATCGGTCGCGCTCTCTATTCTCGATCCAACACCATAAAGTGTAAATTGCTTGGAATACAACCACCGCACAATATGTACCTAGAAGTCCCTTGATCGCTGTCGGGTATCTCGGCACTTCTCGTGACAAGAAGAGGTGGGGACCGATGATGCTGCGTTCGCTAATGTTAGTAGTTGCTTTTTTCTCTTAAGTGTTCGGATTAGATCGATCTCGACTTACTTTCCAACAACAAAACACACGAAATATATACCAATAACCGTGCTTCTCTTGGTATGTCCAGCTACGTTGAGGCCAGGGACCGTCCAATTCAAAACCACGGGCGACCCAAGTATATTCTGCAACCAGCACATGGCCACAAGAGCATAGCGATGCTCGATATTAATAGTGAGAATACCGACAAGTCCGGCTATGCCAGGCAGACACCCGATGATGATCGATGCACCGACCATATTTGGAAGTTGTGACAACAATCCCAACAGGATACAGCCGACAACTTCAAATCCGCCTCCTGGAGCTTGGAGTAGAGATGCCCTCAGCGCGTCAAAATTGAATCCTTTAATGATGGCCGACATGAAGTTGGTCACGGCTCCATTGAGTATTCCGAGAGCTATTCCGGACATCCATATCAAATAGCATTTCCCATCGAGTAGGGCCTCTTTGATTTGGTATGGTCTAATCGTCGCATCCTTAAGACCAATCCGATTATTGGAAACACGCCAGATGGCGACAATACGTTCATATTCTGTCAACATCTTCGCATTGTGGGGTCCGTCTGGAAGGAAAAGCAAAATGACAAATCCCCACACGAAGGTGAGAGCGCCAACTATCTACAAGCAATCAGTAGGTGAGCCTTGGTTGCGCAAAGGTGAAATGCGATAACCTACCAGGAATATCAATTTCCACTGGGCTATTGATAGGCCTCCTGCGACACCTGAAGCATAAGCCAGAAGCGCCCCCAGGATATTCGAGACACCATTCGTACACAGCCAAATGGAACTGCGCAATGTCTGCTCTTTTCGAGTCCAGAGCATCGAAGTGAGAAGTACCCATGCAGGCGAGATACAGGCCTCAAGCATGCCTAAGAAAAAGCGAATAGCGAAGAATCCACTAAAATTGAATACCGTGGCTTGCAGCATGCATAGGGCTCCCCAGACAAATAGCATCCCGCCGACCAGCTTTCCGATCGCAACACGCTGCAACAACATATTCCACGGCCAAGCTCCGCCTTAATAACTCGGATTAGTTTACTAGATCTGTTCAAAATTGACGACTGTTACGTACAAAGCCAGCCGAAATACAAGGCCGAAGCGACCCAAGAGTAATTATCGCCCGTCATACGGGTATCTTGCTGCAGGCCATACGCATTGGAGTAATTGAGCCTATGAGCCAATTGATCAGATTGTGAGTTCGCTGCGCGTCCTCCATGGAGCTAATCATACGTTTGTTTGTCAAGAAACGACAACATATATGTAGTCATCATCTTCACCAAGGTATCTTGTTAGAAACGAATACTATAAAACATAAGGCGTCAACAGTGAGTATCGTACCATCGGAAGCACCAGAAGATCCAATTTCCAACGCACTTTGATGGCGTCTGCTTCGAGTTGAGCTTGGTCATATTGCAATGACTTCTGCAACATGTCTCTTCCCAATTCATTGAGATCGTTCCGTCGGTGGATCAGACGTTGGAAAGCATTTTGCTTCGGTAGTACGCTTCCCACTCCATGTTCAGTATCAACTGAGCTCTGAGCGATTGGAATATCATTCTTCTCGGACATTTTCGCAGTCACAGTGCTAGCGAAGCTTGAATAGACTAATACCCTTCAAATCTAGGAGCGAAAAGGAGCAAGCAGGTATGTTAAATGCTACTCCCCAATATCTCCTCTCTATTCTAGCACTAGTCATGGAGATAAACATAAACCCTTCTACCGACCCTGGTATGTGGTTGGCATGATAAGATCCTTGCTTTGTTCGTCGAGGTGCAGTCATAGCGTTCAACTGTGACGTCGCCCCTCTCTCCGCGTTATCAGTTCTACGCGATCGGATTCACACCGAAACCTCATCTCGGAGAGATGGCAGGAACTTCGAGATAACTAGAGAATAGTATCATCGGTATATTTCTTCGCCGACTTAATATGGCCCAGACCAAAGCCACGATACACAACTCTATCAAACTCGAATGTTTAAAAGGAGCCCTTATCCATAGATAAAGATACCATACGACGAATTGATCATCAGATAGGCAGCATCCGATTCCAAGACTTTAGCTTATCCCGATTGTCCCTCGAATGCAACGATAAGGTGTATAAAACAGGTTAGAGATTAAATTCTTGGAGTAGATTATCAGATAATCAGGCATATAGTGGATCCCAATTGATGCAGGAGTCTACCCTAGCCATCCTTTGTGCGATCCGACGATTGGTAGACGACGCAGTATTCCGTCTCGGGACTCTGGGTCCCCTCATCTCCAACTCTTCGGATACCAACCCGGCTTTATAGCCCCGCCCTTGCAAGATACCGGTATGATTTCTGAAGGACCGTATTCCATGTCCATATGAGGGGTTAGGACTATTTCAACATCCTCATGTTATGTTACTTTTTTCATTAGATATCCAAGTTGGATACTGATTTTCAAATATGGGCGCCAACGATGAACCAGTAACCAGGAAATCCTGGCAAGAACTTCAAGCAGCTAAGGAGGCAGAGCGGGATTCGAGAATACCATCGGAATGGAAATTAAAAAAAGAATATTTCCCACCCGAAGACATTGTTGACCTTCGACCATTCGTAAATTCATGCGAAATCTTGTCTCCAGCTGAGCTAGCAATTACTAGCGAGGAATATGATGCTACATCACTAGCTGCAGCCATTGCCAAAGGCAAGTTCACTGCTGAAGAAGTTGTGATAGCCTTTTGCAAGCGCGCGGCGGTAGGGCATCAACTCTGCAACATGTTGACGGAGATCATGTTTAAGGATGCCATAGAAAGGGCCAAGGAACTTGACAGCATTTTCAAGACTACTGGGAAAGTTGTAGGGCCATTGCATGGGGTCCCCATGACATTCAAGGAGTGCTTTCATTTCAAGGGCTACGACTCGACGAATGGATATATGTCTCGAGTCTTCCAACCGGCCGAGCGCACATCGCCACTACCGGAACTTCTACAAGCTGCTGGAGCCGTGGTCATCTCTAAGACGAACGTGCCCCAGACTATGTTGGTCGCGGAGAGTCACAATAACGTGTTTGGACGCTCTAAGAATCCCGTAAACTCGCGTTTGACCACTGGTGGGAGTAGCGGTGGCGAGGGTGCAAGTCAGGCCTTTCGATGCAGTGCTCTCGGCGTCGGAACCGACGTTGGAGGATCGATACGAATTCCTGCAGCTTGTAATGGTGTTTACGGATATAAGCCTAGCTTTGGGGTAATTCCTATGATCGGCTACTCATATTCGGGTTGGACTGGGTCCAACACGGGTGTTCCGGCAGTGACGGGCCCTCTCGGACATTCGGTGCGCGACCTAGATCTTTTCGCTCGTGTTGTCAGGAGTGCAAAGCCTTGGGATTTCGACCCCGCAGTCATACCAAATATCATGGAATTTCCTGCGCCCGTTTCGCGAAAGCCTATCGTTGGTGTCATTCACGCATCTGGTCTCACTCCCCACCCTCCAGTGCGGAGAGCCTTGAGGGAAGCTGTGTCCAAGTTGACAGCTGCCGGTTTTGAGGTTCGAGATTTCAATCCTCCTGACTTTATTGGTATCCGCGACATTACAGAGCAGTTGTTCACTCTAGATGGATTATCATACCCGAAACAAGAGTTCGCTAAGTCGGGCGAACCAGTGGTCCCGAGCGTCATTAAGATCGGGTTTTGGGATATTCCGCGGAAGAGTCAGGAGGAAGCGTGGCAGTGGAACACGAAGAAGGGACAAATTCAGAAAGAGATGTTGGATGAATGGCAGAGGGTGGGTTGTGATGTAGTCCTAGCGCCCGCTGGTCCACATACGGCGGTCTTACCTGGCGATTGGACCAGTGATATTTATACAGTAGCTTGGAACGTAACTGACGTGAGGCTTACGAGGACTAGAATGTGGTCGACGAATATCGCTAACATGTTTTCCAGTATCCTGCCATAATCGTGCCCTTTACCCACGCCGATCCAGCCCTTGATCCCATCGACACTGAATTCAAGGCCAAGCACGAAGCGGATCAGAAGAACCAAGAGATGTGTACGTAAACTTCCTAAAACGCGACATCAAACTTTCAATAGCTGACACGTTCTAGATGACCCGGAGCTTTTTAAGGGAGCGCCGGTCGCTTTGCAGTTAGTCGGCCCAAGATTGGGAGATAAACAGCTGCTCAAGGACGTTGAACTTCTCGACAGTGTGCTTAATAGTACCACTTAGGGCCATTAAGACTTTTCGAATTATCTAAGTATCCATAGGTAGGTGACTATTGAATTGTCATAGCACTAGGGTTGGACGGTGCCATTGCTCACGGCCCCACTCATTGATACGAGGCCCGTATCGCGCACAATTAGCAGATTGCACAGCAAATATAAGAACACTAAACCACTCAAACTTCCATCTGTTCCTCGCAAGGAAGCCCACTTCCTTGTACCCTTGGTAGTCTAGTTGGTTATGGCGTTCGGCTGTAATTGTAAATCAAATCATGATTGTTACCGAAAAGTCGCTGGTTCGATTCCGGCCCGAGGGATGATCAACTTTTTGACTTTTTTGCCTTCCTCTTCTTTCCATTCATACCCAGATTTATCTACATCCAATATGGGATATTAGATGATCCGTTACCATATCAGATCCTAACCCAGGTGGAACTAGGGCTAGGGTTTAACTTTTTATTTCTTAGTCAGGAGTAAAGTGCATTATGATGAATTTGTATTAGGTAACACAGTGAACCTCAATCAGTATTGAAGCTTTACATAAGCTCGAACTGACTCTACAATCACATGCTTACGAAGTGATTCTGACACATATCTAAAGCTATCACAGCGAAGCGAAACTGTATAAGAACAATAGGTCAAACGAGAAGAAAACTGACTAAGTCTAGCTATTGCGTCCGGTAAGGTCAATCAACAGACTTATTCAAGACATATTAGGGGACCACAGCGTCACAAACGCAGCTTGCATATACCCGTCGACAGTTCCGGGACCGTGTATGCCTAGACGGGTGCCTTACGGGTCCCCTTGCGTTAGTTGAAAGCTTGAACTCCACGGCCACTAAGAAATTCAGGAGAAATAAACTCTATCTTTAATCAGGCAAGTAGTTGTTAAGCTGTCGCTCGACGGTACTCGGTGGGACAATATCGCGTTTTGAGTTCTTGCGATGATTATTCGAGTCATTCACAATGGACTCAATGTTATACTATCGAGGATCATATCTTCCAGGATATTCTTGGCATCTCGGCCTAAATTATTATAAAAATTGAAGATAACCCAGCATGTAGAGACAACATCAACACATCCTCATTATCCTCATTATCCTCAATAACAATCTTTTGAGCATAGTCATCATTAGCTTCGAACGATCTATTCAATTTCAACAACAAAAATGCAACTTTTCACACAAACATCGACCTTCGCGGTCCTTCTATGCACTCTAAGTGCTAAGCTCGCCAGCTCAGCCGACTCGTCTCCCTTCCTCGGGCGTCTTGATCCATGGCAAGTATCAAGACTCGAAATCACGGCTCCGGCACCAGGACGCGACGGTCCTCTTAACATCGACCTAGACATCGCGAACCCGAACAACGTCTCCGCGGGACCGATCCCACACGGCGATGGCGGGGGCTACCTAGCCTTCGGGCCGAGCTCCGCGAGCTGCATCGCAATCGAGGAGACGATCCGCAACAGCAGCGGCAGTCTCGGCCGGGGCCAAATCCACGACAACTGCACGGGCACTACATCGCAGTCATACGGTGTCTGGTCCGTGGACTTGTACCCCAAGAACGCGACCCGTGGCTCGGCGCGCACTGTCAACCCTGCCAACCTCCAGCTCACGTTTACGCTGAACTACAATATTAGCCGCTACGGCGAGTATTTGTACAAGCGGTACGAGGGAACTGGTCGCTTTAAGCTCGGCGAGAACTTGGATCGCCATTGCTTTGCTAAGAATCAGACTTGCTCGTATGCGCTGAAGGCGAACAGCACGCCCGTTCTTGTGCCCCAGAGGTTGATGGCTTGTCAGGGCACTTGCTCGTTGCCTTCTACTAGTGCTAGTCCTAGTACTTAAGCTGGTGGATTTATGGATGGATGGATATCCTGAATAGATGGCAGCTGCGGGTACAAGCTATTGGAATATGGTGGGGTTGGATAACCCCGTGTCTCTGGTTAGACTCGAATCATGATATAGTCGTTAGACTTGTATGAATACTCATGAATGTAAAGGTGGTGGCTTAGAGGGATGGTTAGAGAATCGGGGTGGAGGTAGAGGTAGAGGTAGACAGATGATAAGGGGTAAGATAACTCCCATGTATCTAAAAGTTCTAAATTGAGAATTCTACCGAATAAATAACAGTTATTCTCTCAAGCATACTTATTTATTTGAAGCTTAGAATGAGGCTTGTTAATTTGAATCCTAAGACCTTAGATGATTTTTAGGGACCATGTAGAAAATGTTGAGATACGTTCTCTGGATGATATGATGATACATTCAGCATCATTTAATCCCGAAAGAACATTTCTTGAGTAACTACGAGATAAGCGATATTTACTTTGATTCGTCGATAAATCTTGTGCTGTTACAGATATACATATGTTGTCAGCGAGGTATCAATGCCTAAGTGCAAATATCAACACGTCGAGAGCCTTACCTATCGATGCTGTCCCCCTCCGTACATACTCTGCAACATATTCACGAAGGCATGGTTTATTGTATATTATGGGGAACGAAAGATTGTGCCAATTCTGCAATGAAATTAATTTCGAATCTTTGAGAAACCCCTTGGTCTCGGATCTACCAGCTCTTCAAAGAGGCCAAGCAGACTCGACCAGGTATCCATTCAAAGACAAACAGGATGATGCCCACAAGACGACCCTCCTCGGTACATTTGGTGAAATTATTCAGAGGAGTAAGACATGTCGGTTATGTCAGCTCATTGAGGATACTCTAACGCGGCATACCCCGGGCCGGCCCCTGGAAACAGAAATTTGTCACGCGGAGGTATCATTCTTCGGCGTATACCGCGACCTAAGAGGGAAGCATTATTGGATCCGTCGGCTTTCGATCTTAGTAGAGATTGGAACTGATGCATATAATATCGGGGGACCGAAGAAAAGTCTGTTCTATGCATTCCAAGCATGCAACATCGGCGCGGCGACTATCAAAGTTGATGAAAGGTTCCTGGACCCCCGACCTGGTATTGATATGATGATATTCGGGGGCCGCCAGCGCCCGCTCCAGTTTGATCTTCAATGGGTCCGCCGATGGATTAACACCTGCAGGGCGGATCATGGCGATGCTTGCGAACGGGCTGACGTGGGCTTGGGGAGTACGCTCGAGAGGATCCGTTTTATTGACGTCCAACAAAGATGCATTGTCACCTTTACAGGTGTTCAGCTGTCGAGTTATGAATATATCACTCTCAGCTATGTATGGGGAGGGCCGCAGGAATTAAGACTTACCAGTTCCAACAAGAATCAGATGGCGCAACAGGGATCTTTAGCCAAACACTTGCCTCAAACGATAGAGGACTCGATATTAGTAGCGGAATATCTGGAAACCCGGTATATATGGGTTGATTCTTTATGTATTATCCAGGATGACGACGGGGATAAGGCAATTCAGATAGGGGCTATGAGTCAGATATATGGTTTCGCCCATCTAACAATTATAGCTGCGTCATCGTCGAACGTTCACGGAGGCCTACCCGGTCTCCGCCCAGGAAGCCGTTCTCAAGAACAACAAGAGATAATAGTTCTGCCTGAGAGCAAGAACGAAATGACTGGCGATATACTACCTGCCTTATCTCTCATGACAGCATTGGACCCCCTTGCCAACCCCAGTGAACATTTCTTGGAGCGCACACCCTGGAATAGTCGGGGTTGGACTATGCAAGAACGCGTGCTATCTCGTCGCATCCTTGTCTTCATGCCGGAGCAAGTATACTGGATCTGCCGGGAGGCGATGTTCTGCGAAAAATCCTATTTCGAAAACAATCTTATCCGCTTTCACAGATTCCATGCTAACGCCGCGGAACGGACTCTATCAGGGTCTTTCAGGAATTTCTATGAACCTGATGATGATCAAGCACGCTTCTGGAAGACGTACCAGAATCTCGTGGCTAGCTACACCCGCCGGGCTTTCACATGCAAGGGCGATATTTTTGATGGGTACCTTGCTATCGTCCAGGGAATGTCGGCTCTTTCGGGCAATGAGTTCACTTGGGGCCTACCTCGATCCTATTTCGAGCAGGGACTGCTTTGGAACTCTTTCGCTAGCCTACAACGCAGGAAAGATTATTCGACGCTTCCGATGACATCATTGCAGGTCAAAGTTCCTTTCCCTAGTTGGTCGTGGATGGGTTGGGTAGGAGAGGCGCTCATATGTATCGGGGACGAGCGCTATGATATAGACCTAGGGTAAGCTTGCCCCTCCAAACCCACAGCTAGTTCTATTAGCCCACATGAGCTGCTAGGGAAGTTCCTGAGATACTCTGTTTTGAGCATCACCATTCCCCTCTCCGCCTTGAACGCGTGAGAAAGGGGGCGGTAGGGTATGACTCGATCGCATCACGAAATAGTGCGAATTGGAAGGTCCATGCCAACCAACCTGTCACACTATCCGATATTGCTACTCAAAAGCCACAATTACTCCCCACGGAGCTTGGCAAGATCCCGGAGACGCAGATCATTTTCTTCTGGACTAGTTCTGCTTTCTTGACTGTAACTACCCCGGATGAGGGTGCAGAACGGTCTTTTACGATTATAGGCTCCAGTGGAAACACAATTGGCTCTACCGGAAGCGCGGAGCGTATGTTTGACCGGAGCCAAGACCGGTATGAGTTCATCGTTATAGGTAGCCGGCGAAACCAGTTCTCGGACCCGGTGTTACTAATCCTCCAGATAGAGTGGCTGGGGGACATTGCCTACCGCGTTAGTAGCGGAGAGGTCGATGAGATTGTGTGGGAAGCAGAGAACCATACGTGGAAACTCATCCCACTTAGGTGACTGCGACCTCATGTACGCGATGATGATGATGTCAAGTGAAAGTTGCATACATGTAGGGATTCGAATAAAGCCCCTCCTAAGTTTGGCGATTGGCTATGGGCTAGAAAAAAACAATACAGGGTGCCGACGCCTGCATTTAACTATTAATTTAGTACCTATTCGTACCTACGGATAGGCACCTATGTAGGTGGCTACACCAAGAAATTTGCGATCCCTCTGGCTACCTAGGTATGAGGTATTCTATGGGCCGCAAAAGCTCTACACCCCGTAACTCGGCCTAGGTACTTGGGTCATTTAATTTGGAAGGTTCGTGACTTTTGTCTTTTCGAAGGAGGCTGTCCTCTAACATCATCGTTACGTCTGTTAAGCCAGGAAGGTCGGGGACATGAAATTATCTTAACATGCCATCGCAGCTTGATATTTTTAGATTCGCCGTGTCGACTTATATGAAGTTTCCTTAACCGGCTCTAGAACGCCAATTAATCATTAAGCCTGAGAATTAATAATGCGGTGTTGGGCTGCTATTATAAGCATTCGTATGATATGTGGCTGTTGTCTTAATGAGTTTTGGATCTGGACGTAGGCCGCTCGCGAAAGTTATATAGATCTATTTGCTGATATTAAAGAAAGGTTCGACAATGTATTCAACCTATCGAGTTGGAGGATGTCCGCGCGTCAGGACACATCTTGAACCCGGGCGTAGGGAACTACCAGACTTGTATATCATTTTTCTCCGTCGCGAAGGCGCGATGATGACAGGGGGTATATAGCCCGGCTAACTTTCCCGCATCGAAGCGAGATCAATCCCACACCCTTTTGACGTGCAGACGCCTTTATTCTTAGTGGTTGAAGACATATATGAAGACATATTGAACATACTGCCGGTGACTCTAGAATTCTATCGGTGAGTAACTGCTTGCGCAACGGTGTACAAGGGGTATCCGGTCCGTTAGTCTTGTACACGGGCTGGGAAAATACGGAATAATGAGAGCTGCATCCGGTGGGTGATACAACAGAATGCGCAGTAATGGAAATTGGGCAGTATAGATGCCCAGGTGGTCATGTAGCGATGCTAGTTACCTAGGTAGGTACCAAATCATGGAAGATCTTGTATTAGCACGCGATGTCGTTACTACAATTGGTACATAAGTTAGATAGTAAAAAGTAAAAAATAAGTCCCACGTTGAGGATGGGATTTGGGGGTTCGGTTTGGGGGTCCTTTTTGATATCAGGCTATGGGAAGAAAAGAGAATTACCAAGGGAGGAGAATGTGAAATTCCCAAGGTGGTGGAACGACGCGGATGATGATGCTACCTTAAGTACCTGGATAAGTATATGAGGTACATTTGTAGATGATGAGTAATATCCTATTTGATAGGCTGGCATACGGCAAGTGGAATTTAAAAGGCGCCATCGGAGTATCTCTAATATGCACGATCGGTGTCGGATTTACTTTTTATTTTTTTTATTATAGAGTTTGAACGAATGCATTGCCCAATTCAATCGAAGATGCAGCAAGATCGATGTTTCAATTCCTATTTCGGGAATGATTATATAATACGAAAATCATAAATCTGAGACATGCAAGTCGCACGTGGTCTTTCCTTTTTCTTTAGCTGTTTTTTGGCGGCAAAATCGTAATTGAAACGATACATACTTTTTTCCTTTTCTTCCCTCTTACATCTGCCGAGTTCACGTTCCTGACCTGTAATCCGTCCCCACTCTACCGGACCTGTCGATGGCTCGATTTGGTTAATGTTTTAGAGCCACTTCTTAATCCTCTTCGTCATTAGAACTCGGCAGTTTTTCTTGACCCATTATAACACATTACCACCACTGTCTGTCGTCAGGTTCCGGACGCCTGGTCTCCCACTGCCAGATCTTTGTGGTGTGGTCTAGATCCAGCTCGGCTTGCTGTTGCGGCCTATACCGAGACCATCTTTACTGCAGTACTTTCTACATAGAGAGATGGCTGCATCAGAGTTAGAGAGGAAAAAAAGAAAAATTCAATACAAGCGATTGAGATCTGACGATGTCGTCGTTGGTAGTACAACCGTCTGCAATCAATATTGTATATTGCCATTCAAAAAAGCCATCTCTTTTGCAACATGTACATATGCCGAGGATTGTTGTCAACTCCGATACTACCACCGTCATTTCTAAGCTAATCCCCAATCTTAGTTCGTCATAACCGAGAGCCGCATTGCCTCCAGACTTTCTGTTACTTAGTTACCTTCTGAGACGATATACTGCTTCATCCACCCAAGTGGACATCATGTTTAGACTAAGAAGCCATCGTGAGGATAATCTATACGCCTTGCTTTGTCACCCATATTCCCGAGGAGGCTACCGTGTTACGAGCAGTGCCCTGTAAGTACGGATACGTCGGACGATCATTACGGATGTGACCCGAAACATGGCATTTTCTCCGAGTCGTGGGATTGTACTTGTGTCTGACTATACCTGCGAAACCATTGGGCTATTCATCTGCCGAAATCACATCTAATACGGCCCCAAGTGTAAGCTCGAGCTATTCACATGCCTACCAACTTGGCGGTCATGGGTTTTCCCTATCAATTTCCCCCCAAACCCTCACTAAACCAGGCGCTGGTTGCCCCCCGCTCACCTCATCTACTGCCCGGCCCTCGCTAGCCCCCCTTTTCCCTCTTCGGTGGGTCGGCGGGGACCCCAGAGTCTTGGGACCCCTGGTAGCCCGGCTTGGTCTAAGCGGAACCTCAAGCGGATATGGGAAATATCTCACAGGGACCAACACTGCCAGAGGGTTGTTACAAGTTACTTCGAGGCGTCTAATTGCCGTTTACAAGCGTCACGGCTCTTATGCGATGTACCCAATATTAAGTACAAGTGTACCTTCTACCCCTAAGCTTAAGAGCTCCGTCGCCATTCTCAAACGGATAGGCAAGCCGTAGGTCCCTGGATTCTATCTCTCGTCAAAGCATTATTACCTGATCACGCCGACTGCCTGCAGGTAACCGACAGATAGGTTCGCATATATACCACCTCGGCAAACACCGCCAGTATTGCGTAATACTCGGCCATCGGTGATTCTACTTCACCAGTTGACAAATATTTGTAAGGGATTTTCGGGTTTCTTGTGTTGAATGTATATCGAGCCGACCACTGTCGATCTCGACGACTAGGGAATCCTTTAGGTTTCAACAACCTTTGGGTGTTTTTCCTGCTGATCTCCAGCCGTCTCTTGGGAACAAAATCTATTATTATTCATCTTGTTAAAGCTTTAACTTACCGCAGAAGAGCAGATGAATTCATTGGGAAATGTTGGGGCTTGAGAATTCCGTGATTGGGTGCTTCATAGCTCAATTCTGGCTGCCGATAACCCTATCTGCGATACTCGCGTGGCTTGTTAAGAATCGATACCACAATGGCCTAAACAAGTATCCCGGTCCCTTCCTGGCGTCGTTGACGGACTTGTGGCGACTGTGGGATGTTTACGGTCAACGGCCGGATATAACTCATCGAAAGTTACATGCGAAGTATGGAGACGTTGTGCGGCTGGGTCCCAACACTTTGTCGTTTGCGGACCCGAAAGCGCTGAAGACGATATATGGGCTTAATAAGGGATTTGTTAAGGTATGAGGCAATCCCAAAGCGACTTTTGCAGACAATTCTAACACATTTTATACAGTCTGATTTCTATGTTGTCCAGCAGTCTGTACTTAAGGGAGATGCTCTTGCCTCACTCTTCAGCACCACAGACAACAATTTCCACGCGCAATTCAGACGATGTGTTAACTCAGCTTTCGCCATGTCTGCTCTTGTCCAGTACGAGCCATTTGTCGATAACACGACAAAATTATTCCTAAAACAGACTGAGAAGTTATTCGCCGGTAACCCAGCGGGATGTGATTTCACTCAATGGTTACAATTTTACGCTTTCGATGTAATTGGAGAAATTACGTATAGCAAGCGTCATGGTTTTGTTGAAAAGAATGAGGATATTGATGGAATTGTCCACTACTTGGGGAACCTGTTCCTCTACGTTGCGCCGGTAAGTTGCAGGTTTTGTGGCTCAGGAAACTCTCTAAGCTGACATTATGTGTTAGATTGGTCAAATCCCGTGGCTCGATCGTATTTTCCTCAAGAACCCGATTTACCTAAAATTGTCCTCAATGGGCTTTATTGACGCTACTTTCCCCGTGGCACGTTTTGCGCGAGCACGTATGCTTGAGCGTCTAAATCCCAATGTTACGGGCGACCCCTCGAAACCTCTCCTCCCAGTGTCTACTGAAGGTAAGGCCGAACCGAAGTCGCCGGATCTACTTTCGAAATTCCTTGCCGCACGCGATGCGCGACCCGACTTTATGAACGACGTTCTAGTCCAGACGATGGCTGTGTCAATGGCTTTTGCTGGCTCCGAAACGACCGCTATCTCGCTAGCAAGCGTTTTCTACTACCTACTACGCAACCCCTCTGCGCTTAAAAACTTGCTGAAGGAACTTGATAACGCTGCCCGAGCTGGTGATTTCAGCGACTACGAGACGGGTCTTGTGACGTGGACTGAGAGCCAGAAGCTCCCATACCTCGACGCCTGCATAAAGGAAGCATTCAGAATGCACCCTGCGGCTGGTTTGCCATTAGAGCGTATCGTGCCTGAATCGGGTGCCGAAATTGCGGGTCACTTTGTAAAGGGTGGTACTATTGTTGGTTGCTCAGCGTGGATCATTCATCGCCGACCAGAAATCTGGGGCGAGGACGTGGATATTTACCGACCAGAGCGATGGCTCGTGGACGAAAAACTAAAGGGTGAAGAAAAGGAAGAACAAGAAAAACGTATACGCGAAATGAACGGTATGATGTTCCAATTTGGCATGGGAAGTCGCACGTGCATTGGCAAGAATATCAGTCTATTAGAGATCTACAAGGTCGTTCCGAGTTTATTACGGCAATTCGAGGCAAGAAAATCCCCTAATGCATTACCGGATGCAACCGTTACTGACCGACCTTTTATAGATCCGCTTCAAGGACCCGAACCAAGAGTGGAAACTAGTGAACGCGTGGTTCGTCAAGCAACAGAACTTCCAAGCTATGTTCGAAGTGCGGGATTTAGTAAAACCCGCGGGGACAGAAGAAAAGGGCGAGAAAATCGCCTCGTCGTAGACGAAATGATAGCGATATCAGACAGACGGTGTTTGGAAGGAACCTTTTTAACGGCTGAATCGAATAATGTGTTTTTGTATATAGTTAAGCGTAATAGGATGGACAGTAATTACGGCATAACGGTATTTAAATTCAGGAAATCTTCGTCTAACAACTTGCTGGGAAAATAGTCATGATCGCCCCTACATCGAGATTTGATTAGTAATCTCTACTAGGTTTTTTATTTTTTCAACTTGGAGCCGGATGTGACTGCTTCATCGGTTTGTAAACACAGGGGTATCGTCCATTTCAACTACGTAGACAAAACTACACTACGTCCATACTGCCTATCCACACCACATGTCCTCCAAATGTGAAAAGAATAATAGAGAAATCAACGAATAATTTCTTCCTCCAACACTATCTCGCCTAAGCTTTTTACAACTTTCTCCTTCCCCTTTCCTCCGTGTATCGCGGGAGCGATAGAAGTATGTACTTATGTATGTAAATGGGGCACCTCCCCTAAAACAGAAAAGTATTCATTACAAAGCGTGTCAAATTCCGAAATGTAACAGTAAACCCCTCCAGTCCGTAGCGACGGGCGAAACAGCATCGAGTAAGGGACGAAGCGGGTAACAGGTGGGTGGGTATATCCAGGATGTGAATGTCGTTACCCGTAAGAAAAGTGTGGAGCATAAGCGAAGGCCCCTATGAATTAAAGTATGTCGGCGTATCCCTCCCGTAAATAACAAGGCCGCGAGAATGATGGTCGTAGAATGGTATCAAAAACGTGAGAATAAGTAAAATCCGATAGACCTAGGAAGAAGAAACTGCTCGTAAGAACGGCTATCTTGTCGTTCAAGTCTGGCTTGTGGATCGACGGTCATTGGTCATTGACTTGAGCATCCTGTATCTCATATTAGTCTCAACATCCCCTAGTTCTCTTAGATAGGATATACATACGTTCTATTTCGGTCTCTCATGTCGTCATCAATGGCCTTCAGGCCTTTGAGAGTCAGGTTAACTTGTGCTAGCTATAATCACACGAATTAGTCTCATTTCTATAATAATTAGGGAAGAAAATTAGGGGAAATGAAAAAATCGATATAGGGGTTCGCTGCGACTAGCAAGCGGGGGTCATTAATTGGGTAATGCGCACCGCGCTCATCGCAGCTGATGAATGGTCAGGCTCCTCACCTGCAGCTGCGGAAGCCTCCGACTCGGCAGTGTCTTGAGCGTTTGCGTTATCGTCGCCAGCGAATCTGCTTGCTGATAAACCTTTCTTTGATGTCTGAGCTGCCGCCTTCGCCTATCATCACGTTAGTACATAGTTTCATAAGAATAGAGTTTGGTAATATACTAGAGCTTCGGCGATCTCTGCGTCCTTGACCTTGATTTGAGCCTCCATCTCTGCGAATCTCGACTTGATATCGGCAGCTTCTTTGTCATTGGCTTCTCTTTTCTTCTGCTCTTCTTCAACCATGGCGGTCAGATTGTCATACATATCCTTGTAATCCGCCTCTTGGTTCTTGAGCTTGGCGTCCGCATCGTTCTTGTGAGCTTCGAGGTCCTTCTGCGCGATAAGAGCATCTTGCTTAGCCGCTTCTAGTTGTTCCTTTAGCGACTCAAACTCGGCCTTGGCGGTCGCGTAATCCTTCTGTAGTGACTCGAGATCACCGGCGGACTTTGTCGACACGTCCTGAGCAGCTGCTAGATCTTGGGCATGCGATTCCTTGAGCTTCTCAAGCTCCGCCTTCAATGCATCCACAACAGATGTGTCGGGCTTCTGGTTCTTCAGAGCGTCATTTTCAGCCATGAGTTCCACATTGTTCATCTTGGCCTCTGCAAGTTGTTGGTGCAAGTCTGCGTATTCGGCCTCAACCTTAGCTAGTTCCGCGCCCTTCGTCTTGGCTTCCAATAGCTCGGCTTCAAGATTCACGGCTTGCTCTTCGGCCTTGGCTAGGGCCTCCTTCGCCGCAACCAATGCCGTCTCGTATTCGGTAGCGGTGGCGAGATGCTTAGCTACATCCGAGGTTACGGCAGAAAGCTTAGTCTCGTGTTCCTTAGTCAACTCTTCGATGGCCTGAGCGTGCTTGGCTTCAAGGGCGTCGATGAGCTCCTTCTGAGAACCGGATGCGTCCTTCTTCGCGGCTTCCACGGCTTCAGCTTGCATTGTGATGAATTTCTCAATTTCGGCGGAGTGAGCTTCGTCGCTTTCTTTCTTGAAGGCCTCGAGAGCAGCAGCGTGACTAGCCTTGGCGTTTTCGAGTTCAGCCTGTGCAGCCTCAACAGAAGACTTCAAAGCTTCTAATTGGGTTACATAAGCACTTCCGTCAGCCTCCTTAGCAGCCAGTTCTTCAGCATGGCTAGCTTTAGCCTTCTCAAGTTCTGCGTGCGCTTCCTCGAGGGCAGCCTTCATTGCCTCTAGCTGGGTAAGGTGAGCACTGGTATCGGCTTCCTTGGAAGCAAGCTCTTGAGCGTGGCTAGATCTAGCCTTCTCCAACTCAGCTTGAGCATCCTCTACAGCGGCCTTCAAAGCGTCCAATTGAGTTGCATGAGCGCTACTGTCAGCATCCTTGGTGGAAAGCTCCTGTGCGTGGGTGGCCTTCAACTCAGAGACTAAAGCATCCGAGTCCTGCTTCTGAGAGTTAAGGGCCTCAGCGTGGGCTGCCTTAAGAGCCTCTAGCTCCTTTGCAAGAGCTGCTTCGCTTTCGGACTTAGAAATCTCGATCTCCTTCGCGTGGCTAGCCTTGAGGGCGTCTAGTGCAGCAAGATGAGCTTCTTGATCGGCAGAGGCACCACTCTTGGCGGCTTCCAATTCCATTGCATGGCTTGCTTGTAATGCGTCTAATGCCTTTTGGTGCTCTTCCTCTTTGGCGGAAAGAGCCGCAACAGCAGCCTCGTGCTCGGTCTTGATGGATTGCAACTCTTGCGTATGGCTTTCAACGGCCGTTGAATGTGTGCCGGTTAGCTCGTCATATTTGGCCTTGAGTTCATTGTGCTCCTCTTCAAGAACATGGAACTTGCGCTTGAAGAAAGCATCTCCCTTCAGGCTCTCGATCTCGGTCTCGTAATCTTGGGATACTTGCTTCAGTTGGGCTTCGTGCGTCTCATCTGAGAGTTTGTGTTCCTGCTTCAACTTTTCGTACTTTTCTTCCCAGTCCTTAATCTCACCGGCAAGACCTGCGCTAGACGTCGCATCCGCTTTGGCCTGGCCTAATTCCTCTTGTAAGCTAGCAAAGTCGGACTTAAACTTAGCCAACTCTTCCTTTGTAGCATCTACAGCAGCAAGTGATTCCTCGAGCTTCGTCTTGACTTCCTGCAATTCCGCCTGGGAAGCAGCCAACGCGGCTTTGTCCTGTTCAGCGGCAGCTTTCAATTCGGCAAGTTCGGCCTCTAGTGCAGAGATCTTGGTGGCACTTGCAGCACCTTCGCTTTCTGTGGATGAGGTCAATTCGTCGATCTTCTTTTGCAATGACTCGTTAGCGGCCTTAAGTTCCTCGAGAGCCTTCTGGTGCTCGCCAGAAGATGCTTTACTTTCGTCAAGTTCAGCTGCATGCGACGTCTTCAAAGCTTCAACGACGGCTTGGTGCTGTTCATTCAAAGATTTTCGGAATTCCTCCAATGCGGCATTGTGTTCCTCGGTTGCCTTGGTCAAAGCAGTTTCACTGTCTTTCGCACCAGCATCCTTGTCGAGTTGAAGGGACTCTAGCTTGCTTTGGAGGCTAGTGATCTCGGTATCCTTGGCTTCTTGGGAGCTAGTCAGTTTAGTCAGCTGCGTCTTGTGAGTCTCAAGCTGCTCCTCAGCAATCTTGAGCTTGTCAAGAGCTTCGGATATCTGTGTGCTGAGAGTCTCCTTTTCGGAAGCGTGGGTAGACTTCAGAGTCTCCACAAGTTCTTCGTGTCCTTGGCGTACAGCATCCTCAACACCTTGAACACCATTGGCTTCGGCCTGAATCTTCTCCTCAAGCTCAGTGACTTTGGATTGAGAAGTAGCAACTTGCTCCTTTAGCGACTCAACTTCCGACTCTTTTTCAGAGAGCTTAGCCTTCAGGTCTTCAACATCCTTGGCAGCCTGGGCGGAGGCCGAGGAAGAGGTAGATGGACGAGCAGCATGTCTTGCTGCGGTTGGCGAACCGGCAACACTAGATAGCCGCTTTCTTGTTTCGGTCGCAGCACTGGGAGCTCCAGGTCGGGTAGCCGTCGAAGATCGAACCGCAGGCGCACCTGTTGTGGTACCCGTTGACGGCCTTGCAAGAGTGCTTGTTCTCGAGCCTAATGTGCTGGTCGCAGGAGAGGGCTTCCTCGCGGTGGTAGTTGTACCAACGCCTGGTCTCGCGGCAGACTTTCCGGGAGACGATGATAAGCTGCTTGGTACCGTTGATGTTCGGCGCGCCGCAGAAGTCATAGTAGATTTCTTCTTTTCATCTTCGGAGACGGATGGTTGCGATCGATGAGTCGTGGCAGCGGCGGTCGTAGGCTTCTTGACAGCGGTTCCCACAGGAGGACGAGTCGGGGGCTTGCTAAGACCGCCGCTTGCACGCGCCGTCGAGCCCACGGCAGTCTTCGGGGTGGTGGTAGTGGTCGTACCCGGGCGACGGGTAGCAGTGCTGGTAGCAGTCGGTCGCTTTAACCCCGTGGTACCTTCGGGCTTGGATCCATTACTTGACTTAGCCGATGATTTGGGCGACGCGCCAGTGCCGGTGGTGCCAGCAGTCTCTTCGCCCGAAAGAACCGATTCTTCGTGCTGGACGACCTCAAATCCTTCGGCGTCAGACATGATTTCGGACTTCACGAGGTAGACAGGACAACGAGATTATCGGAAATACGGAACCGGTCGCTTCTCGAATATTCCCAAGTCAAAAACGTCGAACGGCACTATAAATACAACTTCCTATTAGCTTGGAGGGGGGTTCGGATCGCGTTTAGAAGCAGTTATAGTACAAATTGATGGGTTATACGAAGAAGTGGATAAGCAATGATGGTGTTAATGGAGACTTCTTGGATTACTTGAGGCGAACATGCATAGATTCGCTCGCATTGACCAAGGAATCCATTAATACTTGCCATCAACTATAATTCGCGGCCGTCGACACGTCACAAAAAGGGGGGGTTGTCCAAGCGTAGTGGTGGTGGTGTGTGCTGAATCGGGTATTGACTGACCTGTAACTTGCGAACTCCTTTTTTTTTTTCCTTCTTATAATTATGATTATTTTTCTTCCTTTTTTTCGCGCCTTTCCTTTTCCTGGTATCAAGGTAAGCGCCACAGAAATATTATTGACCAGTGAGATATAGGTATTTATATCCCTTGGTTTCCGACACGATGCAGTTTCGCAAATAGAGCAAACGACGTAAAAGGGCCAAACGAAGAAAAGAAAACGCGTATGAAGTCCTTCGCGACGAGAAATGTCTAGTTCCAGATCCGTCCGTAGTCAATCGTTGGAAAGGATAAGAGGAATGGACTGTAAGATGTCAAGTCAAGGAGGCGGGTAAGGAAGGATGGAAAAGTATTGGATATTGGACAAGATTTTGGCTCCAACGTTCACCCAAGGCAGTCCGCAAAAAGGCCGGCTCGCTCACTGGATTAAAGCTGTCCAAGCACCTGGACTAAACCCCGATAGGCAAACATCGCTGAAGCGGATCGCCTATCACAAGGAACTCAACAGGGGTAACTACAGGGGTCCTTGGCGGGTCCGTGTCATTGAGCAATAAGAGCTCTTAGCTCACTGCAGTAGCTCTAAACCTATTATTTACGCTGTTCGGATCACTCTGGAAAGTGCCTACATGTGCCTAAGGAAGGTACCTAGACACCTACCTTAGCCCACCAGTACCGTCAACTTGGAGGCAACTAAAAGAAAGCTACAGGTGGACAGCTAGCTAAAAAGGAATCAACTGGCCACTTAAACAACGCTAAGGGAGCTTTAATCTATTTCTCACGATGAAAGGGGGAAAATAAAAAAGTAAAACTGACAACGCTTCCTCTTTGAAGGTGTCAAAGTCAAAAGTAAGCGTTTTACATATACACAATAATAATAGGATTGACCTCTTAACATTAAACCTGGACACTTCATATGCAACTCAATTTCAATTTTATTGCGACGTCGCTCTACTACGTCGTCTTCGGCTCGGCTGCGTATTGATACGTCAATTCGGTGATAGACCCATAGCATTGGTCATCGTCGCCGCAATTTAAGTGGACCTACCCGATCATCTTGGTCGAAAGCCCATTCTAGTTCGTCAACTTGCCACTAATGAGAACCCTTCTAGACATCAGAGACAGACGGGTTGGACTGCAGTGCACGCGATGGAAACTGAGAAATCGACCAACTGCTTTGCTTGCTGCCTTAATTGATATCCCGAATCATGCATACGATATATGTAATATATTTATGCTGACATCTTATTTGGCATCATAGTTGGACAACAAGCTTCTTGGAAACCTGTTTATCTGATAGACAAGTGGGCAAGTCAGGGGTTGGTTAGAGTGGACCAGTGGGTAAAGCTGTCACTAGAAGGAAAAAAAATTATATCCGAGTCGATTTTTATTATACTTGTAAATTCAAGCTATCGCATATTCAGCATACGAGCAACAACCAACTAGCTACTAAGCAACATAATCCATATGGGTATCATTAACTTCATTCCCGTGCATCGACCGATTCAATGGCCCCAGGTACGCCTGTAATTCTGCATCACCTCTTGAACATGTGCATTTCTCTCCGCAACCTCTTGCTCTGGATGCACAGCTTCAAGCATAAGCCTCAAAATTTCTTCTGACATGGCCTCTGTTTCTTCGAGGGTCCTATCAAGCTCCCATCGAATATCGTCAAGGTCTACCAAATCAGGGTATGACATCTGTATCTTCTTGAAGAGGCATGTCTTCTCTTCAAGGGACCACTCACTAGTATCCAGAGATGGCGACGGCTTTTGAGGTCGCATTTGAGGTGATGCTTGGGATGGTGCTTGAGGTGGTGCTTGTGGCGCCAACGACTCTCTTGCGGATGACGGGACCGAAGATTGCGACAGAGGTGTATGAATACCTCTGACAGACATCAAAGACCTCCATTTCCGTTCTTCAATCGCCTTCTTCCTCTCGAGTTCCTCTTTCTCCCTTTTGACCATGATCTCCTTCTGACGATTTAATCTATTTAGACGATCTTGACGATCTTGTTCTCGCTGGTGCTCGACCTTCTCATGTTCGTCCAGACCAGTATTCACAACGCGATACAATTCTTTCAAGACTTCATCAAGCTCCGCTCTTTTCTCTCTGGTAGCCAGTTGCTTTCTTCTCTCGTGTTCAGTCAAGTTTTCAGAAGTATCAAACGATCGCAGCCTCATCTGTTGAAGCAATGGCCGATATAGCAAACCAATCCAACTAAGAGCCCTCCTAAGTAACTCCATAGTTGAGATTGTAAATGCTGCTTCTTGCCAATCGTAACCCCCCAGATTCCATGCAGATGCAAGAGTGTGAAATAGCATGGGGATAACGAGCTCGCCGATTTCCTCGGATATTTTGTCGCGTTCCTCGTTATGACCATTGATTCCTGACTCGCCTGATTTTCTCTCTACCAGTATGTGTCGAATATACTGGATGACCAACTTAATCTTGGAAAAATAATAAGTGAGAACATCACTGTACTCATTGAGAAATACGTTCTGCTCCGTAATTCGAGGTGCTACTGGGGCCGCTCCTAGTAATCTCTCGAATCTTGCAAGGAATCGCAGAAGAGCCTTGACAGGTTCAGTCTCTGAAGCATCAATATCAAATGAGCGTTGGTGCCAGCCCCTTTTCAATCCCGCCCAAGCAGGATGGCACATTTGCAAGAGGGCTGCTTTAAGACCAAAAGGACGGATGAGTACGGCAAGATCATCGTCTTCCGAAGGTCCATCAAAGGTTTCGTCACCTTCATAACCTTGAGGATATTGAGCTCTAAATTTTGTTACGTCTTCCGCAAAGCTTTCTTCGGTGGAAGTGTCGATATCCGATAGATTTCCATCTCCTGCGAAATTTTCACCCGCATACTCTGAATGATTGTCGTCTATCTTTTCTGAGGCATCATTCTGTACATCCACTTCCACGTCCGAGCCTATCGGCACCAACAAGGCAGCATGATTATCGCGCGATGCAATTCTGGGGCGCTTGGTAGGTCGATCATGACATGGCTGTGTGGACTGGTTTGACTCAATACGACGCGATGGTATATGAACCTCTAATCGCCTTTTCTGGGGCAATATTGCTCCCAAGGTATTAGTAGCAGCTGGCTGTGTAGCCAGTAGCTGTTGCGATGGCGATTCAGGTACTTCCCATATATCAATTTGACTTTGATCTTCGGTCGGTATATTGTCATCACGGCCATTAACTTCCTGTTCGTCATATTCCTCTCGTTCATCTTCATCTTCACTAATAGAAATGATCGGGTCTTGGTCGTGTGTAGACGCGTCGGTCACGTATTGGTCTCGTGTCTTCTGTACATCTCCTTGCCCATCCTCGGTTTCAGGTTGGGCGTCATCTGCATCCGGCGGGCTGATTTGGCCACTTGGAGGGTGGTTTGGGTGTGTCGTGGATTGTTGATCGCCTTGTTCTTCTTTTCTCAGGACAGCATTGACTCTAGTTAAAAGCCCTATGGGGGGAGCGTCGCTGTCGGGGCTTAGATCTCGATTTTCATCTAGAGAAGCTGTGGTTATATCTAGTCGACTCGTAGGGGAGAATGATGTGGGAGTTAGACGCGAATTTGTTTTTGCAGAATCAACCATGGTTTTAAATTTCCATCTTTTAGGCCGGCCAATCGGTGTGTGTCGGTCATTATCAAGCTCGAGATATCGGCCTTTATGGCAAGCTAAGGGCCCTAGGTTCGGATTGTCTGATCTTTTCGGTGGTGAGACATTGGATATTCCTTCGTCGTCGCTATCATCGTCGGAGCTTTCATTTTTGGAATTGAGATCTGGAATCAAATTCGAGTCTAGGATTGGATGTTGGGTCTGAGCTTGAGCCCGAGCCTGGCGTTGGGGTCGACCCCCACATGTGGGGATCGTCATATCGGTTAGAAAATTAAGCCATTTACAGGAACGTAAGGGATGTAAGGGACGTGATCGAAGATTGGTCGTCAATCAACTCTCCCAAATTTTGAACGAACGAAAATTTGGAATTTTTGGAAACAATCCCATTGTTTAGGCTGGTGCGAAGAAATCAAAATCGCATGTCTCCATTTTTTCTGAACTGTAAGGCTCCAGGTGGCTTACGTCGTGGAGTAATCACACTGCAGAATAATCCTACCTAGTTAGCACTCAAATGCCCTGAACGCACCAGCTGCGGCTGGCCAGGGAACTGTCTAGGTGCTGGGGAACTGCTCCAGGGCTAAAGGCTCTCCAATTATAAGTGGATCTGCAGGGCTTTCGCGGAGAAAATCTGAGTTCTAGTCCGTGCACAAGCTTTCCATCCGTGGGAACGGAAGGGAGGTGCGTAGTGGGGGCGGGGTATGTTGCCTCAAAGCTTCAGGTAAACTTAGAAGGTTACTTCCATAATTGTATTCAGCAGCCTCACACGTCTAGAATAAACGCACGCTAGCAACCCGTTATTGAACAGAAGCAGCTGCGAACTAGTTCCGTACTTTCAAATGATTGAAATTTAGATACATAGGTACCTTCAAGCTGATTTCAAGATAGCCATCTCTTATCAGATCTCGCTTCATTCATCCACGAATTTGCTTGCCTTAACCCGCTGGCACTCAGTACCATACTTCCCTGTGGTTATAGAATGGAGACATCTCAAGATCCACGAAAGCCTCAGCCAGGCCCCAGTAACTTCCCTGTACTAGAGATATGGGATCCCTCGTCCAAATACAACTTCATCAAACCCGCAAAAAGAATCAACGAGGGACCTGACGTTTCCAAGTTCCTGACGTCAAAAGCATATCGGGATATTGGAATATTTGTATTGCAGTTGAATCGCGCTATGTGCCCTCGGAAGTCTGTAGGTGACGATGGGAAGGACAAGATACAAACCTTCCAAATCGGTTCAGAATACGAAACCCAGCCAGTCGAGTCAGTACGAAAGCTTCAAGAGTTACTAGTTAGGATTGAGTCATACATTGACGAGGCTCCACCCGATCAAGGTCCGAGGCGTTTTGGAAACATCAGTTTCCGGAGGTGGTACCAGTTATTAGAACAAAGAGTCACAAATCTTCTCCATGAATTTCTCCCCGACTCAGTGTTGAATTTTGGTCCCGGCGGTGGAAACAATGATACTACAGCTATAGGCGAACTTATAGCTTACCTGCTTGGTGGATTTGGGAGTGCCCAGAGGCTCGACTACGGAACCGGCCACGAATTAAGCTTCCTAGCTTTCATCGGATGCCTATGGAAACTCGGCGCATTCAAAGACGGCAAACCAGGTGGTGACATAGAACGGAGTATCGTGCTCGGAGTCTTCGAACCCTACCTCCGTGTGGTACGACGTCTAATATTAACTTACACACTCGAGCCGGCCGGATCTCATGGTGTATGGGGTTTGGATGATCACTCTTTTCAGCCATACATCTATGGTTCCGCCCAATTAAGCCGTGCGATCACAGACTCAGAACCCATGCCGATTGAAGGTTCGCTGTTTCGTGCACCCAAGCCTGCACAGGTAGTCAAGGCAGAGTACGTGGAGCAAGAGAGAAAGCGAAACATGTATTTTTCGGCCATTGGATTTATCAACGACGTTAAGAAAGGGCCATTTTGGGAACACAGTCCTATTCTGTTCGATATTTCCGGTATCAAAGACGGTTGGGGTAAAATTAACAAGGTATTATATCTTCTGCAGCATTATCGATTTGCACGCATAGCTAATTTTATCGTAGGGTATGATCAAGATGTTCAACGCTGAAGTTCTTTCCAAGTTTCCGGTAGTACAGCATTTCCCTTTTGGTTCGCTATTCTCTTGGGAACAAGACCCTGATGCCGCTACCCCTCAACAATCGGTCCACATGGCAAACCAACCCACTTCCGCTACATCTATGCCGCCACCACCGTCATTCGCAGCTGCTGGGCCTAGTACAGGTGCACCATGGGCGCAAGCAACAAGTATGCCTGGTGCTTCTGGTGCTGGTATTCCATATTCCCGAGCTCCGTGGGGTCCAGGACATCCCGTCCCTAGACCATCTCAGCCACGGCCCAACGAAACAGCTCGTCAATTATCGACCACCCAAGCTCCTTGGGCGAAATCTAGTGACAGACCAAGTGGATGAAATTTATGCAATCATGCCTCGATGAAGCTCACCTATAAAGTTCCTAACGCCCCAGGATGACACAAGAATAATCATTCGGACACCTCACATAAAAGAGACTCGATATTCTTATCGTAGTCTAGGTTGTGGTCGAAGTCCTCATGCGACGGCAAGAATAGTGGGAACTGCCTTATGCGTGCACCTACTCGAAAGTCTTGTCTCTGCCCAGACATCATGCATCTGGTTAAACCTATTGGTTTGAAATTTCGCGGTCTGAATCGTACTTTGAAGGGTTATTAGGAACTAGAATTCTGAATAGCCCATTATGTATAGACCGATACTTAGGCCCTTGGTCATAGTAAATCCGAATTAAAGCAAAAGGCCACCAACATGTGTGTATGGGAAATAATAGGTAATTTCCTAGATCTGCCTGTAGATCGTTTTCGTCCGGGTGCATAATTAATCCTTACGAGACCGTCACGAGGATCAGACAGAACAGGCCCACTCCTTGCGAGAGGCCTCCATTTGTTAATCCGGGCGGCAATCAAAACATTCCTTCGGAGTTGGCTACTTGGGCTTCTACACTATTGCTGGTGGCTCACCGTTCATGCTGTTGTAGCTTTGCTTTTCATATAGAAAAAGTAGAAAAAGCAAATCATATTAACACCGTACAAATAAGTCTTCGGACTTACTGTAAGCAGTTAATTTTAGTAGGAAAACACGGTACACTTTAGTCTCAGACACTCTAAAAATCACGTATAGATAGTTATGATAAAGACGTTAAGTTTGCACAATTAGAACGAGAACAATTCCATTATTTTCTCGAACGGGGGTTGGGGTAGGGTATCTCTCGACTAAAACTAAAAACTCTTTGGGAATATCCTCCAATTACTTCGTAGCCCAATGACAAAACGCAAAAACACCTCTAGTGACATCCTCATTAATCCATGCCAAAAGGCAGCTCCAACCAACTTCACTTGTCCAAGCGTTATCGTGTTACCCGAAATATGTCGTCATACGGACTAACTTAATCGAGGGCGGACAAAATGTGAATAAACGGTGTTGACTTAAGCAGCGGGCTTAGCCTCCTCCTTGGCCTCGGCAGGCTTCGCTTCGGCAGCAGGGGCTTCAGCAGCCGGAGCCTCGGCGGGAGCTGCAGCGGGTGCGGCGGCGGCCTCAGCAGGAGCTTCGGTCTTAGGAGCTTCCGCGGCGGGAGCAGCAGCAGCTTCTATTCGGAGAAATCATTAGCGAATGCTACACACGCCATCCCAATTCAACGATTTTTAACATGTGATACACTCTGGGATTTTCCCCGTAGGAGATTTTCCATCTTGTGCACCTTGAAGGTCAATGAAAGGAGGGGTCTGGGTTCAACTTACCCGCGGGGTCGGCAGGTGCTGAAGCAGGTTGCTCGCTGGCCTTGGGTGCCTCGGTGGTGGGAGCCGCTGTGGAAGTAGGTTAGCCGATTGATCGTCTAGGTCGCGAAGCTCTTCGTTGCATGGATATGCGACTTAAGAGGCTTAGGGTTTAGAACTTACCAGCGGGAGCGGCGCCAGCGGCCGGGGTAGCAGCAGCCTCAGTCTTGGTGGCGTCAGCAGGCTTGTCGGCGGGCTTATCAGCGGGCTTGCCAGCCTTGTTCTTCTTAGCGAAGATCTTCTTGAACTTGCCCTTGAGGTTGTCAAGGGCACCTAGAGCTAGTGATGGGGGTTGGCGTGTTAGTGTGATCAAGTTACTCGAGATTGGCAAAGGAAATCATTATTGATATTTTTTTCCCTGATGAGGAAGCGCCGATGATGAATGCGTCTGCAATTATATTATCACGAGACGATTCTCAAACGCCGAGGTGAACAAGAGCGCGAGACTTCTCGCAGAAGCATTAAGTGGAGGAAATGTGATAACTTACGAACGCCGGGCATGATTGCGGTATTGATGGTTGATTGTTTGAAAAAAGGGTTTTTAAAAATGTTGAAGGAGAGGGTGGAGGTTGTCGTGAACAAAAATGACGGCGAAGGAGAATTTAATGTGCGTTGTGAAGCGAGGTACGTTTTCTTCTCGTTGTTATTGACGCCGCAAAAAGAGAGGGAAGGACAAATTAGAAGTTCGTTTTGAGGGAAAGTGTCGAGATTAAAATTGGGGAATCGATTAACCAGTAAATCACTTAAATCACCTATTACAGATTACAGGTGCTGCACCCTTGACACATTTAGCGCCGGTTGCCAATCAGCCAATGCAAGACGCTCGAGCCTACAGGGCCAACGGTGGGTCACTAAAACAGCTTATTCACTGGATTTTCAGGGGTTCTTTTTCATTATTCTACAGCTTACACACGCTAACAGGCTACAGGTAGGTAATCCCACCAAGGCAGTTGCATGATAATTCAGGTTTAGGATAAGGTCACATCACGTACTCGTCACCTGCAGTGGCTTAGTTTGACTTATGTATGTACGGTGAAGGGGTAAAAATGAAGTAGGTGCGCTAAAGGGCATCCCCTAATCTTCTATTTTCCCGCCTATTCACAGGTAGTTCAGCAGGTCTTTCCAAGCAAAATAGAATAACGTTTCTCACCTAAACGTTTTAGTGCTCCATAGATCACTTAGCGCGAGCACGTTCCAGGCGTTCCTTACAGTTTACAGTGGTCTCAGACGTACTAATATCTGGGGTAATTAGTCTTACAGGCAATATGGCTTGCATACTTCGTAATTTTTATTGATGGGAATCTCATCCGTCCCGAAGCCAAGCACTAAGCGAGCTTAATTACCTATCAAGCTGCCGACCCAAAAAGATAAGCTGAAATAAGGGATCTCCATTGTCCTCTTAGCAATTTCCAATTCTAACCTAGAACAATAAATTCGACGAGTCTTGTCAGGGGTATGTCATATAGGAAAGGAGCCAAATAAACATATATCCCGCAATAACCTTCTATTGTTCCAACGAATTCCATTTACTAGTCCCCGAACCCATACTATTGGAGTGCATGTACAGCTAAAGCATTGCTGTTTGTCGGGTTGCCAAATTAGGTGAGCAGTCCCTCTTCGTCGTATAACGCTATGAATCAGATAAAATCGCAATACGAGTTCAAAGTCGCTCATTCGCCGTGACTCACTTTAATGGAGAGACTGTCTTGGAAGGTCCACAAGCACAGCTCGGGGCGGTGATTTTATACCACTACAAAGGGTCCAACCCAATCAGAGTCTACGCTATGGCTCGTGGTAATCCACAGCGAGATCGGGTCTTTAACAGTCATTAGGTACCTAGTGTTAGTGGTTAGAACAAGCTCGACCGGGCGACAAAGTCCTAGATACCACCGTTGCGGCGACTAGATGAGCTGAACTTTAATGAGAGATATTTAGAAGACAAATAAACTCCTCAATACAATTTAAATCCTCTTTTTTTCTTTCCATCACCGATTTGTTGGAGTTGAGTCTATTTTGAATTTACCACCTACGTTGTTCGAACCCCTCACGATGGCTCCCATCATTCATCTCGTTCGTCACGCTCAGGGAGTTCATAACCTCAGCCGAGAAAACCAGGAGATTTCAGACCCTGATTTGACTCCCTTGGGCCTGGAACAATGCGCCGAACTTCGGAAGAAGTTTGATGCTCACGATAAATTAACGCACCTTGTCGCCTCCCCTATCCGTCGAACTATATACACCTGTCTGCACGCTTTTGAGCCAGCAGTCAAGGCTGGCGTGAAAGTAATCGCTCTTCCGGATGCACAGGAGGTCTCAACTCTACCGTGTGATATTGGATCGGATCCTAGCAAGTTGAAGGCGGAATTTGGCGACTCTGTTGATCTGCACCTGGTCACGGAAGGCTGGAACGACAAATCTCGCGGGAGCAAGTACTATCCCAACCCAGCTAATCTCGAAGCGAGGACTCGAGATGCTAGGGTATGGCTCAGGGAGCTTGTGAAAGGTAACGATGATGCTCAAGTCGTTCTTGTCACTCATGGTGGTATTCTGCATTTCCTTACGGAGGATTTTCAGGGTGTTCTTATAAATCGAGGTATGTAATTTATCGGCTCCTTTTTAAGCTGCACCCCGTATTCAAGTTTTATATCTATCAACATAATACATATACAATAATACTTACAATTTACAGGCACTGGGTGGAACAATGTCGAGTTGCGCTCATACGAGTTTGCGGATCCAACAGGCCAAGATCCTGGAGCATCTCTAAAGGAAACTCAGCCGAGTTGGCGTTCTCGACGTGGGAGCGCGATCCCTCTTACCGAGACAGAACAGCAGCAGTTGCGACAGGCTTTCCAAACTGTTTTGGATGAAGAGACTAAGAAGAGAGAAGAGGCCGTGGTTGATTGAAGACCGGGAAGGGAACATTCAATGATCTCCATTTCCGTCACTTAGACGTACAGACCTTGACATATCAGAATTGAATGACATACAATATAGGATTGCATGTTGTTTCTTACCCGTGGATCAGTGGACTTCAGATCACATACATTAGGTTGGTGTTGAAGCGCAAAACCCGCGTCAAGTGGCTGCCTAGGGAGTCTTCTTCATCACTACGCCAATTTGATCATTATAATCACTACCTGTGTGCGCATTTCCCTTAAATCTCTCAACAATCATTGGTAATTATAGTGCCGATATGACCACTTCTATCCAACGCTCTTGATCTTGCCGTTATACGATGCTTCTCTGGCCCTTCCTGAACTCTTAAATCCCCCTTCCCACGCCAGTCAAACCTATTAAACATGGCATGAAACATAGACATGCATCAAAACATCATGGTTGTTGCAGAACGAAGTCGTGAAGTGATCCGCACGGGCTCAAATCAACTAGGTGCAGAAGGATGCAGTTATTCGAATTTAAAGAGTCAGGTCATGCCGGCTTCGAGCTACGATTGAACTAAATCATCAAATATTCAAGGGGACAGCGTTATGATGAGAAGGCATCGCCACGAACGAAGGAGCTAGAAGTCGATGAGGAAAGAGCAACTACAGACGTGTGACCATACTATTAAAGTAGGTTTAATTGCTTCAAATGGCTCAGCAAAACTTGCATAAAGTTCGTTTGATAAGCACATAAACTCCCTCACCTTAGTTAGCAGGAACATCAGATAGCTGTTGTAGAAGGCGAGCCCCTTGACAGTTAGGACCTAATTGATGGAATATCTATCTGGAAAATTCTCTACCCTTCTTTTCCATCCCCAGAGCAGCTTGAATCCTTACTAGACACAAGAAAAAGGATTCCACACAATTTGCTGTCCTCTTCATTCAAGTCTAGCCTTCAACCGATCTTCAATCATAATCCCACCCCACCCAATTCGCTTCTGTGTCACTATTCAATTCAGCAATCATGGGGCTGACTACTTATTTGACATGTCTTTCTGCCCTCGCTGGCACTGCCGTCTCGGTATGGAATGATTTCTCTGGACTACGTCCAGTCTTAGCCGCTAGCTACGACACAGCCCAGCTCGCAAATATTGTGCCTACTCCCAACGTTAGCCTTGACTATTCCTTAGACACTTCTGCGAACCCACGTAGCAGTGTAAGCATTGTCCTTCAAGTCGATCAACCCGCAGTGCTACTAGAGGCTATTGGAGAGGTACAAAGGGTTGTCTGCACCTATGGTGCGGTTAGGGTCACCTTCAGTAACCCAGCTGCATTCGAACAAACGATCTTGGAGTGGCCTCGTACTGGGAAGTTCTACCTGATCACCAACCACCTAGATAACTGCAATGCGAGAGGCGAGCGAGGAATCTACCATGTCACTGGTCTTAGCTGGGACGACGACGCCACCACCGTGACGGCAAAGGCAGTGAAGACAACCATAGCAAGCATAGCCAGTGAGTTCGATAAGATATCAGAGGTTGATTTCACACTAACATTGATTGAAAGCTTTCATGAGCGTCGATTTCTCCCACGGCCAGGGGCTCTCGTCGAACAATAGCGGGAACATCACATTCGACGAACCCGGTATCAATGTTGCTTCCAACTTCTCTATTCCCGACGATATTGATATCTTCTCGGCGCCTCCGAACTTCATTGCCAAGGCTGATGCGGGATATCTCAGCGACGCTGCTGTCATCCGCGGCCATTTCGATTATGACGTCCCGAGCTCACAAATTCAAAATCTCTGGTTTGACATAGACGCAGCATTCTTCGGCAATTTGGCTGTCAGTTTCAATGTCACGTCACCTCTAGACAACAATAATTATTCGTTCTCTCCAGGAACGTTCCAGCCAAGCGAGATAAATGTTCCTAGTGCTTTCAGCCTTAAGCCAGCACTTCATTGGACTGTTGGCGCTGATGTTGGCACTGTTGGCCCTTTAAAGCACAGTAGCAACATCACTGTATCGATTCCTGATGGTCACGCACACGTCGATTTCCTCAATAGCAACCGTTCACACGCCGTCGGTTGGGGCCCCAAATTAACCTCAGCGATTGATACCAGCGAAGCAGCTACCGGCCACGCATCTCCGTTCGTCGACTTTTCGATTGAAGTGGCCCTGAACGTATTGGATGGCCGTTTCAATACCACCGGTGGAATCATAGCGAAGCCACAGTTCGTGAATGATTTGACTGTACCACAAAGCCAGACACGTATCAGGAAAGCCGACAGAATGCTTTGGCCCAGAAATGCCACATGCACCAACGGATTCGAAGTTCGATCTACTTTCAACGTCACTGTTGATGCATTCGTTGCGGACCAGTGGCAGAAGACACTTTATAACGCTGAGCTTCCCGTTGCAGATGAGTGTTTTCCTTTCTAATATCTCGATTCACCAACGTCGCACAATCGGTAACTTATTTATGGGATATTAAACCAAGGCTATGAACCATTACGATGTCATATTGCTTTAAGGACAACTAACATGGGAGAGAACTAAGTTATGGAAGACGGAAAAAGTATTGGAATCTGCTCTAGTTCTTAAAGATGGTTATCTAATTGTTAGTGTTCGAGTGCACGGGTCGGGTTTGGGACCGAGCGTCCCCAAATGACACAGTGGCAAAGGATTATGGGGCTGCCTCGTATTTCGTATTGACTTCCCATCGCATCGTCTCCCAAGCATTCAAGCCACCAATTTTGGGTTGAGTCATCGCCCTAAAGTACTTAGATAAAAGTCATAAATATATAGATGTCTCAAGGACTACTACATGCCTCAAATAAGGCGAACTTCTCTTGCCTATTTACTATTTCTTCGTATCTAAATTGTTTTAGTCGGGCAATAAGTTCTAAAAGATCTTACCTTCAACGGTGCCCCGTTTTGTCACCACGCCCCGTAGTCACTTAAAACCATGATATCAACGAGAAATCTTCATGATGGAGCTATCGACCACAGTCAGGCGGTCGCTAGAGCCCCCGATGACCATATTGTGTCAAGACCGGTTCCCGACGCCCAGACTCAGGATCCACGAAGGTACCAACTTAATCAGATGAAGAAGCGTTACTCTCCTATACAAAACACACTACAAGATGGTACGACGAATATTTTATTTCAGCTGAAGCCCTCAGACCCGGATTTCCCTTTCGAGCTGAATTATCTGGATTGCGAACTTCAGGTTCCTGCGTTATACCCGGAGAAGCCTCCTGTTCTTCGAGTCAAGAATAAGGATATCCCCCGTGGATTCGCAGTCAATGTGGAGAAGGGATGGGATAGACTTGTTAAAGAGAAGCAAGGCTTGACTTTGCTGGCTTTGACGAAGGCTTTGGACCAGAACTTAGAAGCATTCCTCTCGGAGCGAAAGACCGACACCGTAACTTTGTTATCTTTCAAAGATACCAGACATCTGGATAGTTTTACTACTGCATTAAGTGGCGGGCCAACCTCAACAGCTCAACCATCCCCAAAACCGGCACCAGCGCCTCGTAGGGTGTATGTACCAGAGGAGTCGTTCACTGGAGAGCAGATCACCAGCGCGAGAGCAAGACGAGCCCAAGAGATTAGACAACTAGAGGCTCGAATGTCCCGGATGCCCCATTACCGGAAGTCGGCGGATGGTGTAGTCTATACGTTACCTCTGGAGCCGAGACGGCGTGTTGAGTTACCATTCGAGTTGCAGTTGGTTCAGTCGGTCCAGTTAATCATACCTTTGCTCTACCCTCTGCAACCCCTGAAGATACTTCTCAATAATGTTGAATCCAAGGATGCTGAAGCCGTGGAGGATCTGTTCGCGGAGAAGGCCGCTCAGCAGAAGCAGATGAACTTGACGAGCCATTTGAATTATCTCTCGCAGAATATTCGTACCTTAGCTAAGCAAGCGCATATTGCGCGACAAAAGGCTGAGGTTGCCGCGAATAGCACGACCGGCAAAGCTCAACAAGTTGATACTCCTAAAGCCGTCGGAGAAGACGGGAAGAGCCATGTCCACATCATACCTCGACCGCCGGAATGGAGTTATGGCAACGAGTCCGAAGACTCGGAAGATTCGGACAATGATTTCTACTCGGATGACGAGTCCGACGACGGAGGTGCAGCGGTTACCGACGGCGATGCAGTAGCCGGTACCTCTGGGATGGCGCACCAAGCTGAAAGGGGTACCGCGATGTCATTTCCCTCAGTTGAGCTCCACGGCATTGAGCTGCTGCAAGTATCCATCTTAAACCTTAGCGTAAAATGCGACCGTTGCCGGACATTAAACGACGCCACGGGGTTAAAGCCGGATGTAGAGAAAGCGGGTAGTTGTCGGAAGTGTGCCGTGCCATTCACAACGATGTTTAGACAGGAGATGGTACACCAGGGCTCGGTTAGAGCTGGTTTTGTAGATGTGGCTGGATGCAGTGTTGCGGATATGCTGCCTAGGTACGTTGCCCCTTTTTGTCTTACTGGCCGGACTTTCCCAACCAGCCGTCTCCTTTTCTGCACAAGAAATTCTAATGGCTTTCGTGTTCATGCGCTGACTGTTTAATTAGCACGTTCATACCAACGTGCTCGCGATGCTCGACGCCGAGCCAGGGACTTGTCTCGGTTCGTGGCGAGGCTATTACGAATGTGTGTCGGGAGTGTCATGGCAAATTCACTTTTAAGATCCCTGAGGTCAAGTTTCTCGCTATTACACATGGTACTTTGCCATTGCCACCAGCGGGTCCGAGGAGACGCCAGGAGAAGCTAGGTTTACATGCTGGCGAACCGTTGCCTGGGCGCGGAGCGTGTGCGCATTATCGCCGCTCATATCGATGGTTTCGATTTTCGGTATGTGGCTTTGGAGGCTCCATTTTGTGCTCTTTTACCCCTGACCCCTTTCCTATGTCTCATATGGAGTAGTAATTATTACTAACTCCGACACCATAGTGCTGCAGCAAAGTGCACCCCTGCGACAAATGCCACGATGCAGCAGAAGACCATCCACAGGAGTGGGCTAACCGCATGATCTGCGGGTGGTGCAGCCGCGAGCAGAATTACGCTGTCGAGGCTTGCGCGTTTTGCGGCCGTAGTGTTATTGGTAAGAAGGGGCGCGGGTTCTGGGAGGGTGGGAAGGGCACCCGTGATAAGGCCAAGATGAGCCATAAAGATAAGAGGAAGTACCGCCGTGTTGGCGGGAGTGAGGGGAAGAAGAAAGATTGAGGATTGATGATAGGTTGGTGATAGTGGTGACGATGGTGGCGTTGAGGGGTTGTGGAGAGGATGTTAGGCGCTGAGTATTCTACAGCTTGTAGACAAAGTACCTACGTCTAAGGAGCCCGACGCAAGAAAGCCATCATAACTCTGCTGTAAACTCCAATGATAACAACCTTATTGCCGCCATCATGAAGTGTCTACGCGAATGACTCCAATAAGTAGTGTACTCCAACTTCAAAATAGCATCTAACGTATGTTACGCGCTTCAAAGTCCTAAGCGCTTAACGCTGGTCAGCACCACTACTACGTCGGCGCTTAGCACGATACATCTGATAGGTACAATATTCGTTCTATCACTTGATCACATAGTACAAAGCTACGAAAAACTTATGAAACGCCATCATTGGATAAGTTTCTATGAACTATTTTATGCAACAACCTGTGATATCTACCACGGCGTCTCGCTTCTGGTCTGAGCCAGCATTCAACTTCGTCCACGTGAGGATGTTGGGCACCGGTAATATCGTTTAATGGTCGAGGCATCACTTCATCGCCTCATAGTGCCAAATGATATGTCCAAGTTCATCTCGAAGCGAGCCACTGAGCTTCTACATGGATTACGTCCTGGCGACCCCGGGTTAGGGGTACTCTCGGGAAGATCGCTGGAATATTATTAAATTTCTTCAACAATTAATTCCTTCCGCCCGATAATAAAAAAAATAAAATAAAAATATTCGAATAAAATATTCAACAATAAAAATATTTATTATTTTATTTCATTGTACCCTGAATACAAATCCCCTGGTTATCAAATCCGCCTCCACCCGTCCCAGTACCTCTGTCTCGGTAGTATGGATATTCGATGATCAGACGTTCGTGCCCAATAGCCAAGGGCAGGATATTCCTTAATTCTCCTTCCGACCCTTGACGAAAGTCACATTACGGCTCCTCTATGCGTCCCAAGCCGCCGCCTTGGGTCAGAAGAAAACAGGGCTCGCTAGCTTGCGCGGAGTTGCGACTGGTGAATTCTGCAACGGATAATGAATATCTTTCCCTACTAATACAACTACCGTCCCTGGTTCCCAAACCGGGGGCTCTCCCACCCTGGTTCGAAAGTCGACGGGATGCACCGCCGTCCCTTCCGCCTGGAACTCGAAGTAGCATTGTCTGCGGAGCCGCAAAGCTATTGCTAGCAATGTCTAATTGTTTCCCCTGGCATTTGGTAGCCTTGGTACCTTAATATTCGTAACCCTACATGCGATCGTGACATTATGTACCTACATTAGGTGGTTGTACATTCTGTATTTCGACCGGGGATTTCATATGTACACTTCCAAATACCAGCATTACGTATCGCCCAGGGCAGGGTTCACTCCCGAGCTTGTTTCCATATTCACGCAAAGAATGCCTGCCTACAATACCATTACCAAGGTTCATCCATCTCGTCGCCTTTCTCCCCCTAGTAGTCGCTCTTTGCCGCATCATACCGGGGCTATGTCGGGTATAAGCGAAGTTCGCTACTTATTCTACGTACACGGCAACAGAGCGAGCATAGCGCGGCAGGGCAAAGTAAATCGAGACGCGAAGAGTAGAGGGACCCGCCCTTGCCGCACTCGCCGCATCGTTCTTTAGCGAGCCCAGGAGCGTGGCCCCGGTGTGACATGTATCGGGCCTTCCCCAGAGCCATCGAGCCCGCCGTCGTGGATTTGGTATTTTAAATTAGGATTGGAGGTTCTTTGCTACATGAGGCGCACATCATCCGTCGCTTTCGTATCGGGCAACAAGTACAATTCCCAAGTACAGAGACAGGCAGTTACATAGCGATGGCATCAAACGCGTTGATGCGACCTTTTGGAAATTACGAGGATTCGATGAACGATCGGTGGCGGCGAACGCAGGGATCAACCTGACGGTGTGGCTTTCGGTGAGTTGATGGCGTCGCTCGTGATAGCTGTCGGTCAAGAGTGGCTGACATGCAAGTGGTTTCAGCGGTCAGCGGTGGCGTTGGCGATAGCAGCGTAAAGGGAGTCATTTGACGGCGATTCCGCCAGCCTCTTGTCGCGGCATTTCCACCAACATGACATGCGTAAGAACTTACTGATCACCTAAGCAACAAAGCAAGGTGAGGAACGAGTTTCACTAAGCTAGGTATCGTAGAATGCGGCGATCCCATCACAGCGGTCCCATAGCTACCCAACCGACACTAATGTACCCGAATGCCGATGCAAATCCGGGGAGTTAACAGGAACCAACATGATGGAATCCACTTCGTCGGGCAAGAAACAAGCTCCGATACAACTTAGAACTTGATTTAGCCATGTGCATATTTATTTTTTCGTAAAATGATTTAATGAATACAAGTGCATTGCGTGTGTGTAGCTTGTGCCGCATGCGCCGCTCCTCAAGACCTCGGTAGTTTTGCAGCAACTTTGAATCTAGAACCGAAGCAGTGTTGGATTGGTGGCTTACGATGACCGGGCATTTTGCTTCTCTGCACGCTCCCACGTTCCCGCGGACTTCTATTCTGGAGAAGTCCTAAGCCAAAAAGCAAAAATAATAACCAACACACTCCATTACCAATTTGAGCTACAAAGTAATACTGAATCCTACGCGGGATGATACCAACCTGTACCAACTTTTAGATGTTTTATTTTAGCGAAAATGAGCTCCTCCCGTCCTCACATCCCGCGCTGACCTTTGCTCGAGTACTGTCCCGTGTCCACTGCCCACTGTAGAGGTACACTAGCGGTCATATCCGCAGGGGCGGGAACGGGAAGGGCTGCAAGTCCTCATTGGCCTGCCCCTGTTTAGACTTCTGACGGGAAGCCTATTTAGGTAAGGCGGGTAGGTTTCCTAGGGTTGGGGGTACCATTTCTTTGGGGGGCTTCGTGGGTGAAAAGAGTAGTACTATGTGAAGGAGGGTCAAGGATTGTGAGCTACTACGTACCAATTACGCAGGGAAAATATGTACGTTGACCTGCCTCTTCCGGCAAGAGGTGACAGGTTCGAGCCACTCACGCCTCTCACCGAGCGAGACACAGGTTAGACTTACATGAACAACAAGGATTACGACGGTGACTCTTTTTTCTATGCAGTTGGGGTTTTAGTACGATGATGCCACATGGGTTAGTGTCAGCAGGGTTACTATTTCTCGAAGTCCCTGCATATACACATACAAATTCGTAAGTGTTACCATCAAGGTGGTTTCGTTCCTTTCTAGGAAGAGAAGGATTAAGTGAAATCTTATTTGCCGCAGTTAAATGCCTGGAGTTAAACCATTATATACCCGCTATACTCCACGTTGGTAGATCGTTAACCTTTATTGGTTCAATATAACTTCTATAACGTTGATAAGTATAGCTCACCATCCTAAAACAGCCATCAACAAGCTCCTTTAGGGTTGAATCTATTCTGGTTTACATGAAGGAACCGTAGGTTTGGTAACGCACCCCCGCGAGTGACATTGTATGTAGGTACAAGACATCGTAGAGTGTGACGACCCCGATAGAAATGGAAGAGATAGTCTACCCTCACTGAAACTTGGACAGGGGATATATCGAGTATTGCGGCAAGTAAAATAAAATATTAATATTATTTTATATTTTTATTTTATTCGAATTTATCTTCAAGATCCATTCTCACAAATTCGGGTACCGAATTACGAAATCCAATCTCGCGTACTTTTCATATGAGTGGGGAACACAACACAGCACACGTCCACGTGCAAAATACGTTACTATATCCAGCCGATTGGTATCAATGGGGAAGAGAGTGAGGCACAATTGCAACCCTCCTTCCACACACGTGATACACACAATATGTAGAGAAGATTCCTCGGTCCAGTCGCTCGGATACACTGAATGTGGGGATTGAGATACTCGGTAACAGCTCCAAGATTTGATGAAGAAATTGCGACATCCTTAGCTTTCATTCGCTCATCCTGTCTTTTACGTCAAATTTACATAGTACCTAATACGAAGTCTGCGACCTACCTAGATAGTTATTCCCAAGTACCTACGTATAAGGCAAAGAAAAGATTGTTGTCGCTACCTGATTTCATTTCGCCAGTGGAAAAAATAAATGTCTCATTAAACACCAAAAACTACCATCGAGATCCATTAATTACACTTCTTACAGACGGCTAGATTATCACTACCAACTCAGGGTTCGCGATCCCCACTTAGGCTTCCCATCAGGCATTTAGAACCCCAGACCGAATCCATGGGCTCGGGTCGACGAGTTTCTAGCTTCTGACATGGAATCGATTCATTTTCTAGCTTCAAAATGGAGAAACCACACTACACTATACACCTCCTAGACGGGTAGGTAGCAAGGCCAGTATCAATTATTGATGATCCTATTTGCATCCATGTGATAATAATTACGACCGTCGACTGTCACAAGTTCGCTAAGAACGACATGGTGGTGACAGCCGGTCGGCCGGCCGGGAGTTCCCCCGTGATTGCATGGGCTCGGGAGAGGTGTCCCAATGGGGGAAGGTATCTCTTGCTAGAGAATGACTTCATTTTAGAGAGGTGATGACAGCGGGCGGAGAAGGAAGGGCTCGAGGACGCAACGCAGACAACCCTCTCCTTCATGCAAGCAAATCTCGTTTGGGAATGGCGTCGAGAAGCGCTTTAAATGGGAAACTCCACTCTGTCCGCTATGACGGGAGTTTCAGGGGCGGGCGGAAGAAGTCGTGGTTGGCTACGCGCGACGGGCTCGAAACGCGCCAGCCCTTCGGCGAAATTCCCTCCTGTCAAAGTGTCAAGTGAGGCCGAAGAACGCTTCGATACACTCTTCTAGAAGTATCGTCGGTACCTACGTATTTTGGAAGGGAAAGCTTGCTAGCGTTCGTCCAGAAACGGTATCTTCGTCGGCTACGCTAGGTTACCTAACTAAGAAGGGGTGTCGTCGCCTAGACCTACCTACCTAACCCGAGAGTCATGGCGATGGCTCCCAGGTTCCGATTAGGAAAAACTAACGAGTCAGGAAATTGGGTCCTGGTTTTGACATGTCTGTTCGGGATGGGACAGACCTTGTCACCGGAAGCTTACCCGCCCCGCGGACTTACACTTATTAGCAACGGTCTGAGAAGCTTTGTTGGTGTCATTTCAATGTCAATCAGCCCCGGCAGAACTCGATATGGCATCCCAATCGTCCCAAGTACAGATGTTCGGGTCAGGATTGGCATGGGGATGAGGAAAGACCGTGCGAGAGATGGGGATAGTGGTGCCATAGTATTTGTATTTTATTTTATTTTTTCCTATGAATATTTTTTATTCGAAATATTTTATTTAATATTTTTATTTTATTTCTTACCCATGACATTCTTTCCACCCTCGTCGATGAGTACATCCTCATATTGATTGATATAACTAGGATATCCTCCCCCAGTCCAACGGTTGATAACGGGAGCATCCCCGGATCTGCCCAAGGCTCTGGTAGCGAGTTGAATCATAGATGTCTATTCATCATCTATGTCGGTTATCTGCTGCAAGCGAACTCTTGACGTGCTGGCAGCAGAGGCGTAAAGTGAATCTCTCCCTAAGAACTGTCTTGGTGTATGTATAAGTAACCAGGTACCCAACCGTCCCGCATAGTAGAAAGAGATATTAATCCGTTGGCAATCCTTCGGTCTAATTCCAGGGCTTGCTTGAGAGTTGTGTGATATCTGATCGGGAATACCTTCCGGTGGATATCGATGGAGTACGATAATATGTTTTCTTATGCCATGAAGGTAATAATAAAGCGAAATAAAGGCAGGGGAAGAATTAATGGGTTAAGAAAGGGAAGGGAAGGGAAGTGGAGTACGAATGTTTGGTACATTCTTAAGTACTATGGATACATTGATAGAAAAATATGAAGAAATATATTCATCTCCACCTTATTAATATCCCAAGCTAATGCGAACTATGGTTCAGAGCCTCCCAAGAATCTTCACCGGTCGAAAAAGATCTGGTGCTCGAAATCGTCACGGGACTTGGGAACTTGTTCTTCAAAAAGTGTTGCATCCAAGTATTCCAGCGCAACGGTCGCCTTGGTTGAGCTTGGTACACGTTACATTCCTTAGTAAGTGAAACGCAATAATTTAGATAGCGGGACCCGCCGTCATGGCTATTGGTCAGAGCTTAACTATTATTAGTTCCGAGGTTAAGTCAAATGATTCCAGTCAGCCGATGTACTCAAGTACCTAACCTAATCAAAGCGGAGAGCCCCGAAAACGAGCTCTACTGATAATGATAAGCATTGCTATCATTCGTGATCATTTATTATCTTCTGTCAATGCGGCATTGAAGGTGGAGACAATCTGGAACTATGCAAATTCGTAGGATTATGCTATACTCAATTCATCGACCGAGCTTCCTTCATGGGATGTTCCCTGATTGGCGGAAATAATTACTTAAGCATCCTATATATTATGTCTTATGTAATTTATTAAGTTACACACTATCATTATGTCCCCGCCTTTACCAACTTTTTATGCGCTATTATGCCTATTATGCCTTATAATGCCCCAGATAATTGATAACTAAGTCACTAGCGGCGGCATTTCAAGTCACAAGCATGGGGAATATTTCGTCATCCTGTTTCTCATCGCCCTTTATTGGAAACAACAACTCAAAAGGCTGACATCATATCCATCACGCGTGTTTACATATGTGCGTAATAAAAGTCAGATCTATCGATGCATGTAAGTAAATATCTATAGATCAACGTATGTGTATGTATACAGATTGATGTATGTGGTAAGCACGGTGTCCCCTTCCGCAGGCCCGCGCAAAGCATTATTACTCAAGTATACGCCAAATTAAGTCATGTACATATCCTCAATTGGCAATAAGGCATCAGAGTAGCGGGCTTGAAGAATCGTCGATGTTACTTAGTAACACTACATGCGGTCATTCGCCGATTATCTAAGACAAGATCGCTGGGACTTGCAAGTTCAATCTATGCAGATACTCGACGTCATACTGCATGTCGAATCTTCGATATGTCTTGTTTGTCTGTAAGACAATGCTCTCATAGCTTTAAGCCTCAATTCGTCAAGCCACAGCGTAATAAACTTATCCACCTATAACTTCCGAAAGAGGAACCTACCCTAAACGGATGAGGCTGATGCTCTCTACCCCTGAAGGTATTCGTAACCGTTCCTCGATATTTTATATACTTTACGATCCATCTCTTGCTTGAGTTTACGACATTGAAATCTATCAGCTAGATCAGCCATGGCGGACAATGCCCCAGAAGAAAGCAAGGGAGACCAGGAGAAGAAGAAGCCAACCACTAAAGAGAAGCTTCTAGAAGAGATCACAACACGCATCGAAGAATCTAAGAAACTACAAGAAGAATCCGTTCAACTCCACAAGCAAGCTGAAGAAGCGGAAGACCCCGCCGTTGCCGAGGATTTCAAGTTTCAGGCCCGCGGCCTTGACAGGAAAGCCGCCAAGCTGCTCAAGACCGCAAAACGGCTCGAGAGCGGGTGGATGCAAGGCGGCGCCGCCGGGGCCGGGATAGGGGCTGGTATTGCTGGTGGGCTAGGTATGACTGTTGGATCCCTAGTCAGCGGCTTGGTTGCTATCCCTACCACCGGTTTAGGCATCTTGGTTGGTGCGGGCACGGGTTTGGTTCATGGCCCTTGGGTTAAGTTTTCCCAGGCATTCAGTAAGGATGAGGTTGATGAGATTGATAAAGAGGCTGAGGAGGAAGCTAAGCGGATCAGCGAGGGTTGATTTGGATGACAAGGGGAGAATACGTTGAGGCATGACGATTTCATGATATATGGATTTATGACTTGGGAATATACGTTATATTTGGTCTCTCGTCGGTTAAAAGGGGAGAAATAGATACAATAGGGCCAGCAATCGGATAATAGGGGTATATCAGATTCACAGCTATATTTACATCATACCATCGTTTCTTTTAACTCTTCAGAATCGACACAGTCCACCCGGGCCTATCCGTGTGCTAGCATGAGGCCACCCAAACACCCGACATCACTACAATGGCCCCCTTTGTTAACGATAATCGGGCTGTGGATATGTATAGATCATGGGCCAATTCCCTATTCCGGCACATTTAATGGTTATGATATGTCGTACTGATGGGTAGTGGGAGACCAGCATGGGATTATTTGCATTCTAGTCGGCTAATGTGGATCTCAAGAAAGGAGGTTGAGATCACCATGTAAAGCTGATGCATGACTAAAGAAACTCAAGTGTCTGCCGCACCGAAGCGACTAAGTAACCACTGCCTTGATTCCACTGGTCTTACGAAGAATCTGCCGCATGCGGGGTTGCCATCAAGCAAAGAGCTTGATTAACGTTGCTATAGAGAATATCTAGGCACCTAGGTAACGAAAGTGTTCCTTAGGATGTTACTAAGTTTTAAAGTGCTCAACGTATGCCTGAAAGATGCCGCGGGTGCCCTTATATGATATGATTACCTAGCTTAGACCAGGGCCCCATTTGTTTTTCGCGTTGAATCCAGCACCATTCCCCAGCTTCCTATTAAGCCATATCTAATAACCGCGCTTTCATGAAAGCAATCATCAAGGATGCACACATTTACAAGCATCCACAGAGCAACGGAAATTACCAAGCGACGTCTACCTGTGTTCATCTGTTGAGATGGCACTAATAATCAAGAGGGGAGCCTCGTATACTCGTGAGCTATTTAAACAGGCTGGGAAGGAGTATCTGAGCTTTCCACAGTTCCGACTGCTCCCACTCGAGCTGCGAGACATGGTATGGGAATTCTACTTCCACTAGAGACCAATAAAGCGCCCCGTTCGGATTCATTTCCTTCACGATACCGCAAGCGTCCCTTACTCTACCACCATGCTTATAGCCAACCCCCGGAAGCCCCGTCACGGGATAGCCTCGTGCATCAACAAGGAAGCTTATAATGTAGCAAAGAGGGTGGGCTGGAGGCGACTATGTCGGCTTTACGGAAATATTTTCCACATAAAGCCTACAGATCTGACAGGCACTCGCATTCGCATGCCCCTGAAAAAGGAAGAAAGAAAATGGCCGACCAAATATCAGTACGATGCGAGAAACGATCTTATATATGTCGCTGGCTCTGAGTTCCTAAACCTAGAATCATCTTGGTGGGGTAAGCGAATAAGAAATCTTGCGATCCTGATCTCTTCGACCGATTCTCTGAGATCCATTCTATCCGAGGATCAAAGATATAGATGGGTTCCATATTTAACTCGGAAATTAAATGTGCAGTGGCCGAATCAATTATTTTTCGTTATAGTACCTCCTACCCCGATATCGACCATACCACGAGACAAATATGGCTTCATTGAGCTTAGACGCTTCGAGAAAGCGACTGGCGTCAAGAATCCAATAAGTCGTAGACTATAGGGTAGTCTTATGCGTAGAATAAAGCCCCTTCAACTGGGGAAGTCGCGGACGGAGATACAATTTGTCGTCGATATAGACGGTTGCCCAAGGAGTTTGGATGAAGGCATAGGTCTCAGTAGGTAGAGTGATGGTATTACGATATAGACTTCATCGTCGTCGTGGGGGGCCATTGTTATAGGACTACCTAGTCAATCAAGCCTCATTTGCACACGTACGGGTCCGTTACAAGCGTCTTAAATTGCCATTGATATTAAAACTATAACCATTGGGCCCAGTGGCACTCGTTCTACCAGAAGTCGACGGTGTCCTTCTCGCCGCCACAAGGTGCCCGCCAGAGCTTTACCTATGATTTCAATTTTCTCTATCACTAAACAGGAAACTTACATATAACGAAACTTAGGTACTTATGTAACTACCTAGTGCCTGAATTATCTCCGCGTGTGGATTCCCTTTAGGGTACGATAGGATAGATACTCTTCTCAGGAGGCAGGTGGCTAGGACATTTGACTGAGTAGAGATTGAGATTTTCATGCCGCGCTCCTCTCGGAAGCCTATCGCAACGCAGCGGAACAAAATATAGCAGAGTCGATTTTGCTATTATTATTTATTACTCATACAATGACGCTCATCAACACGTGAGGTTTTCCAGCAGCCTTCAATCCGTATTCTGTTAGACCAATGAAAATTCGTGAATATCGCGCTTAGTTAATATTGTTGATGGCAAGGGAGTTATATGTGTACCCTGGCGTTGCGGCTATTACAAACATACGACCCAGAGTTCCTAATTGGGGTTACACGAAAGCTCAGGTGGCTGTCAGGGCCAGATCCTCTTCCCCGAGACACGATGGGGAAGGCTGAGGGGAACCGCCGTTGTCCCGATAGATCTGCTGAGGGTGTGAAGACAGTTGTCAAGGCTGAGTTGTCAATAAATGTCTCACATCGAACGCGTGACTGCATCCTACGTATTCGGGAGGGTGGCAGCTAAGCACTTGAAACATTTGAATTGTACTTACGAACTAGAAAAGACCAGAAGAAACAAAAGGGGGTGTGCTGACTTAATAAGTAAGGGCTTACCCTACCAAGACCGTCAACTGGTACCACTAACAGGCGCTCCCTCACGATTTACGACTTACTCCGGATCTTGTACCTACTTACTTAGTTCTCCACGTCGTATAGCGAGGCTCTAGCGAGGACGCGGGGAAGGATCATCAGACCAAGCAAAAAACGGAGCTTCGCGGGCGGAAACTAGGTCTAGCCATCCCGGGGGGGATCGTCCTGTGCATCGCCAAGACCGAATATAGGGTTCTTGATTACTCTGAGTACACTCCATCAAAATTTCTGTGCTCGCGCGACCACGGAATCCCTTTCACCGCCGATTGCTTTGGCCCATTCATGTCTCGTGGTGTGTCAGTTGCGCCGTTGGGCAGCCTGAGACAGGCAAAAGCCTAGGAGCCGCGGGGTTGGGGAGAGCGATTTTATTTTCTTTCATTTCGGGCCTAGGATTCGGCCTTGCCTTGCTTGCTTGCCTGCCTGCCTGCCTGTTTGCTTGCGCATCTCAGGCACCTGAGCGATCTTTTGTTACGGCTATTGCTGGAAGGTCGCAGTATCCCACGGCACGGATCTGGTCACAGCCCAAGGGGCAAGGGCAGGTAAAATAACGTCATTAAACAGCCGAAGGGAAAGAAAAAAAAAAGGAAATAATGGTAAAAAAAAAACTTGCTGTCACCGGTTCGTTCACCCCAGTCATCTAGCGGTCTAACCACGATGACCCCTTGACCGAGGGGCGGAAGTTACGGTAGCAAAGGCTACGGAGATATTTTTTGGACTAGGCAGGGCGGACTCGTACTTTATGATTTCTCATGATCGTTACTATATGTATGAGTGCCGTGCCTGTTCCTGCGGGAAGCAACCCTCCACACCGGCTACGATCCCGCATCCCAACCGTTGGAGAAGGGCCGCCAAATAAAATAAAATAAAAACGAGTAAGGGATAGAGACATGGAGGGGTCCACGCAGAACATGGCGAATGCAGAGTTTTTCGCCTCCCTCGTCTACCGGTTAAAAGGGCACGCAGTCAAGGCGTGCCGTGCTGAATTTAACCGGCGACTTTATCCAAGGCCCTGAGAGCCGCCCTGAAGGTATTCTAGAGATGGGATTGGGGAAGATGTTAACAGGGGGTAGGGGTTCGGTCGCCAGCCCGTCCGTCATTTGCAGCGTACCCTGGAACCGATCTCCCGGGATCTTTGGGACGGCACCACGGCGGGTTGTGGATGTAGTAGTAATTAAGGTAGGATGTACCGTAGGCTATTCCGCCGCGAAAGGCTTTCGGCTGTGGTAATAGCGTGTATGTATCACGAACTTGCTGGTTGGTGAGTATACGTTGGGCTGAAGAAACGCTGTGTACCTTAAAGTAGGGTAGTTGTAGGGTAAGGGTAGGGGTTGTCTATACATCTACATACCTACCTCTTACTTTACACCCCTGAACGACTCCAGCGCCACCTGGCGAAGAACAGAAGTACAGAAGTCCAGCAATATAAAATTGATTATATCTCCATAAAATAGACTACAGCCTACAGGCGACGTGTGCGTACGTAGGGACTCCGTATATCTGGGGTGCATAAAGTCAAAAAGAAAGAAAACTATTCGGTATGACGGCCCCAGGATCTACTCCGTAATACCACAAGCCCACTTATGATACTACAGCTTGTCTTGTGTTGTTCCTCATTATTATTATTTTCTGTAATTTTTTATTTTCTTTTTTACTTCCCCTTGATTATTTTATGTAACTTATTACTCTAGACCGCCAAGGTTCCAAAGATTGAAGAGGTTGGTTGTTGGGTTGGACGCGTGTTTCTCAAAGCCAGATTTAGAAGTCTTAACCTGGAAAGCCCCTATTCTGACAATTCCCGTCTCTGCTTACCAAGACCTTATTATTCTAGTATTCGGTAGAACAAGAGCAAGGCATTGATAGATTAAATTGTCACAATTCAGTATGTTCTGCATCGTAGTGCTGATTGACAGGAATCCCATGTAACCGGATCACATACATGCCATTGGTCGACGTCGTGTATCTTTACTAATTATACGCACTTGGCAAAAGCAGGAGGGCACATCGACACATGATGACCATGCGTATACTGACTCAAATCTTGCTAGGTAGGGTACTGCTTGAAACTTCTCTTTACGGACAAATTTCGTAAGTGGCGCCTGAGGGATCGCATAGAATTCTTCCTACTCAGTTTAATAATATAGTAGTAATTGACATGACTCGGTTTCACTGCAGAACACAAGAGGATTGGTCATTTCGGGGTCACTGCTATAAGCGGTATATTTGCACGAGGTTCTACATCGCGTGACCTTCAGGTCTCAGCTGCATCGTGGCGATGGCACATTGCAGCAGAAACAAAACCAGCACTTTTCACTTTAAATGAACGAGCTATTATAGGATGCGCTTTTATGAATATGAGGACAGCCGCTCCTAGAAGAGAGTCATGGGAAAGTGACGCATACTTAGAACGGATGCATCTTTCGTATACCTATGGAATCTAGAAGCTGAAAAGAACTCGGACTAGGCTTCGCGACACGCGTATAGGGACATCCTAGGTAATTCCATATGCGCTTTCTTCAATGTTTCATACCTGTGCTGATGTTGCACATATCCTATTTCCCCACGGAGTAACTGAATATTTTCTGTATGTATCGTGCACATATTCGCGGAGTCTCTTTGAATATTATTTGGTGACAGAAAAAAAGCCCGGCCTCTGAATAATGCCCGCGGGTCCGAAAGTCAACCCCGTGCACCATTAAATCCGAAATGGGGAAACCGCCTATTCTACTTCATAGCAATTTCTACTATTGAAAAGCCCCCTTATTACCTGAGAGGTAGGTAGACACCAAGGTTGACGGACAAGCCAACCGGACTATCGATATTTGGGGACTTGTGCACGGGGGCTTGCATGAAGCGTCGATGTGCATCGGGATGTGGGCGAGTGCAGGAGGACGGTGTAGGTAAAGTCCAGGAGCATTTCCGATATTAGATAGAAAGATAGCGAAATAAAGCGCTATATTGCGACTACTCAGAATGCGATTCACGTTCAATCTACGATCTGTGGCGCCGACCGGCTTACACGATTGGACAGGTTCTGGAGGTCATCTTGCGAAAAAAAAGTAGGTCTGATAGTGTCGCAATCGTTCTCGTTCCTTGTAGAAGCCAACCAATACCCCTGTATGGCTTGCGCTGTGCTTCCCACCGTAAATTCGACAGCGACAATGGCGGAGATAAAGGCTATCAAATATTTGCTGACCGAAATGGGTCTGACTGCGCCCGTGGGGGGTTAATCGCCGCCGTTGGCCGTTGGGTCTGTCTTCTGTTGTATAAACGGACCATAATAAGGTCGTAGGAATAGGAGCCAACAGAAGGTAGCCTTCGCCCTTCGCGGTGCGCGGCTGACCACCCCGTTATGGTACTCTTGAAACTGCTAGGAATAAGGTGTTGCCACCCGTGCAGTCTCCAAGGTTGGATCTGACTATCTGAAATAACATGATAAGGGACGGCCCGAGTAGCTAAAGTGCCTAGGCACTCTTGCGCCGCATGGGATGCATGGATGTCAGCAGGGTTAGTGGGCTATGTATGTAGTGTATAGATGTAGAGGGAATCAAATTAACCTCCTTGAGATTAAAAGCTTTCCTCCAACTGCGTTGTACTCGAAGGTAGTGGTGTTCCTGCGTATTACCCTCAACCCTATGTTGAGTTGGTATGTTGGTACAGAGGCTGGCGGCGCCCGCTATTGTTGCTTGCTGGGTTGAGATTCGCACCAATCTACTTCGTGGCTGGATCAACGTGAGGCGGATTCGTCAGCAAAGAGAGATCGGCCTTAAGGGGGTTGTAGGCCGTCAGCATCCAAGCGACCCCACGAATAGGCAGGCCATTCTCCCCATTGGGAGTGGGGTGAAGGCTGAGCTGAATGTTGAATTTCTTTTCCCACGGGGTCGGCACCATGAAAGTTCTTGGTAAGACGACTGGTCAGATACCTACCTAGGTAGAGTACTTTGAATACAAATCAAAAAGGCTGTTCAAATCTGACCTATGAGAGATTGAATATGACAGAATTAATTAATACCCTAGCCGCCACACCCGCAGCGCGGATTTTCGAGACAAATCTTTCTAGATAATTCTGAACTCACTGCCGTCAGACTTGCGAGTATGATATTCAATCTGCCTCGCGCTGCAATAGGTTCAAAGTCAGACATCAGCATCGCGCGGTCCTGAATATCGAACGAACGAGACGTCCAGCGCCGTCCCCGTACGAATGGAATGTCAATATCAAATATAAAATTAGACCGTGGCTCGTGTAACCACCCCTATTCGCTTCACCCCCTCATGGCATTGGTCACCGAGAATACTCGTACGACAGAGACGATCTAACCATGATAACTGTGCGTATGTGCTACGTTTGTGACGCTTAGATGAGCGGGGAAGAGGGGAACCGAGGACCAGATTCAGTCCCAAGGCGGAACGCAGACATAACAGTATATCGATTGGACCATTCTGCTGTCGCAGTTATGTCTCCACGAAATAACACGTATAGCAAGTCTAACCGGGCCGCTTTTAAGAAGAATAAAGTCATTACACTTGTAGTTTTGAGACTCATAGGAGGCGATGGGAGGCGATGGGATCTTAAAGCCAAGAGCCAACAAGACGCACTCCAATTCTGCCATTAGGAAGAGTCAAATGCGGATTGTACCCGACGTAAACCCTACCGGCATCTCGACCGAACTGTTTCATTTCATCAAGGCTTTTTGCTGCGGGAATATAATTACTTGGATGTTCCTATTCGCGTTCCTCGTCATTCCTAATACCACTCAGTACACCGGATTGGGGAAAGGGGGCGGATGGAACACTACGAAACGGGAACACGTCGCGAGAAGGCCTATCGTATTAGGTGAGAATGCATATCGAGCTATTAAATCCCAGAGGAGACTCACATAGCAAATTTGCGCGGCACATTGACCGTAAGTAAAAGAACGGACTCGTAAGCACATGAGAAAAGGGACCGGTGTTCATCTGATGGGATCTGCGGTTGTTTGCAGATAACTCGCGTACGTAATAATCGCTGGAAATACTCAGGTCACCTGTTTCCTAAGGGGATGAACCAATCACCGGGGTTTTCATACGATATCGAGAAAAAGAATCCTCCGTTGCGACACACGGACCCATCAAAAAGACGGGCAAGCGAAGTTTGGTTCGCGCAATAATTCCTATCTCATCTGTTGCAACGGTCACACTTGGATGAGTCGCATTCTACGGGACGGCAGTGATCCCCGAGGCTGGCTGATCTGATCGGGACGTGGAGGACTATGGAGAAAACCCCTTCGTACGGGGCCGGTCTCAATGGATTTCCCATATGCTTGCGATTTGCCATATGCCATATGTACTTACATGTGCCGTGATGACGCGCAGGAGATTAGAGTGACAACCTTACGGCGTAAGTTGTGGGCGTGTAATAAGTCTTCGCATACCGGCTTAGACATCTTCGGTCTTCTTCATAGGTAGAAAGGTATGCATCACCGCAGATGGTGATGACCTTACTGCAGCTGCCGAGAAGGCAAGGTGCGGTTATGCAGTCCGCACATGAACTTCTGGTCCGTTCCACAGAAGGCTCGGTACCACACACCCCACGGACGGACAACTCCCAAGTCAACGGAATACCTTCATGTAGGTCTCAGGCCGCAAATTAACTGATCGAATATACCTCTTGGAGAAGACAACCATTATTTCCATGGCTTCCATGGCTTCCAAATACGGTCATTATGGAAGACCGAAAAGGGCATCATCGAGATACACCGGTAGCAATAATCATAAATCATAAAAATAATAAAAGAAATTAAATTATAATCCATTTAACAGAAAATACAATTAATGATTTTCTCCCCTTGTTTTCGAAGGATTCCTTTCCGCAACCACGTGGCGACCCTCGACAAATGGCTGTCCTTCATCAAGGAATGACATGCAATTCTAAGGATCTTGATCCAAGTCTCTCGTTACAGTTCAGCTATGTCTGGCAGGTTTAATAACAATGCTCGGGAGTTACTATTATGCACGCAATAGGACATGCGTACATGAGATAGACCTATTCATAGTGATCCTGCTTACTGATTTCGGTATCGACGTGGTAGTTAACGAAACTCCGAAACCAACTGGAATAACCTGTGACCCAATCCAATATAGCATTTCGGAACAGAAATAACTTCATCAGGGTATGATTATGTCAGTTTTAGTATGCTGTATGTAATTATTTAGTTGGTCTAATGAGAGACTAAGGGATGATCCTCCCGAATTTCCAACGGCGCAGCTAGTACTTATAGCTAATAACTAATAACAACTAACAAACCACGAATCATACACGCTGTAATAAGAGCCTTGGCATAGTAATAAGTCTTTGTCGGCCAAAGAGAAACACCCGTTTTTACTTAGGCTAGAAAAGTAATCGGCTATTCCTCCAACAATACATCGTCGAGGGATATGGCTCATGACATCATATTCAAGCAACAAGACTTGTTTTTCTTTATTATTATTATTACCGATGTTGTGGAAATAAATCCAGATCGACAGCTAACAGCTATTATTCTTAATTACCAGCTGACCCGCTGACGCAATTCCCCTGAACCCCAGACTTCTAACAAAGATGTTAAGAGTCAGGATAATCCAAGCAGATAGCTACCATCTACGGTAAAACATGTCAGTAATGTTGATATCAAGAGCCCATCGCAAACGAACACTCCACCCTTCACCCTCCACTTCCCAGCCCTCCCTTCCCCAGCGATCTGGGTCAAAATCTCGATGCGCATTTCTTAATTCGGACCGGGCTCTTATTAGCTACTTTCGTACCAAGAAAGGCTCGACCTCGAGAGAGTTCGCGCACGACCATGCCGTCCCCCCAGAAATTGGAATTGAATGGGTGGATGAATGAATGAATGAGGGATGGTGAGTGACTACGTGCAGTCGAAAATGAGATTGGGGGCGCAGCGCAAGTGACCTTGGCTTGCTGCATTTGTTGTTTGGAGAATTACTCGTCTCGGTAACAATCTGATTCATCACCGCGATTCCCCAGATGATGATGCTGGGGAGGATGGGAGGTACAAGTAGGTACAACACGACAGCAACCTCGTCATCGAAAAGGGCTGACGCCAGATTCCTTCAACTCCTCCAATCCATGTCCATGTAAATACATACAATATCCCATCTATTCTATCGTGAGATCCTAAATCGAATCATACTCGGTTTGGCGATGCGCTTTCAAAACAAGAACCCCCAACGAAGATCGAGATCTAGGGGTGCATGACTTTGTCAATACCTACCCATTACAGGTGTCTTAAAACAAGCTGTTGCTTCCGATCTTGTAGGATTTTGACTTGAGTATGGCATCACCTGAATAGTGTTTCGATGTACCAAAAAGGAATTTGAATATCGGTTATCGCATCATCTCAAGATACATTGTTGCAAGCCGTAACGGTACTGTAAGTCACTGTAATAAGATGGAGAAAATAATGGGTAGCTGACTTATCGGCGGCTTTCCTTACTACATACATCGAGGATCGCGACATCGCCTTACAAGAAGGATGCCTAACCTGGACCAGCCTCGTTCCAGCGTCGCAATCTACATTCCTATAGAGGGTGCGAAAAGCCTAAACTAGAAAAACAGCGAAGAGGCGAAAAGAGACGCAAATGCAAAAGGACCAGGGGTGTAGCTGTAGGTTGCTGTAGGACAATACACACGCGCCATTCAGCGACTGCATGGCGACTTACAGGAGGCTTAGTGACCGGAGTTCCTCTGCGTGGGGGGTTTCAACGATCGGTACGGGTACATTGTCACATTCGATCATGACCTTTTATTCCCTTCCTCTTCTCTAAGTAGATATATATTGGATATTGGTACAGTATATACTTAGATATGTACCTAACTCAACAATATTGATGTATCTCATCGCCATCGAATATTGCCATTGCCATCGCAGCGCAGCGCATCGTATCACATCTCACAATTTGCCAACTGGCACTATGCATTCGCGGGTCTGGCCGCTGACATTCCGGGCGGGAAGAAACGAGTCACAAGGGCGGCATTTTGCTGTCCGTTTAACGTAAGACGCCTAATGCGAGACCGACAGGATATGGCCCGCGCCGCGAAGGAGGGTGAGAAGCGAAAAATAAATAAGAACATAAGAAAATAAGAAATAAGAGGAAGGAGAAATGAAGCCAGTACACGAATCATCGTGAGATTTAGAGAAAGTATGTAAGAATTATTGTTAGATTTTAGTTAGCTCGCGGCTTTTCGGGTCCCCCGCAGGAACAATAAGAAACAATTATTACCATATGAAAATAATTGAAACAAGACTAACACGCTAATACTTGGGATCATTAACCTCGAATTGTTGATAACCCGCGGCAACGAGGTCAGCGAAAGGGAACAATGTTTGGCGCCAATGAAGGCCCCCAGTTGTTGTTGCGCATGACCCATCATCAACCTATGAGACCCCCCGCGCGCAACATTGGATTGGGAAGGCAAAAAAGATACAATGATGAAAACGCATTCAATCCGATCCAATCCCCTCCGTGTCATCTGTCCCGTGCTACCTAGGACGTTGGGTGAAGGAGGAGGAATTAGGAAGGAATTGGTTTGGTTTAACAAAGGATGAAGCAAGATTAAGAAAACAATGAGATTACCTTGATGTATCTAACCTATGCAACGTTTCGAAATAATTCTCCGTGATGTTTAACGTAGCTTGCCATACAATACATACCTGACCTAAGACGTAAGAAGTATCTATCTAGCCTATCTATCTCATAAGGGTCGCAACCTAGGTACCTATTATCTATAGTACCCTAAGGAAGGAAAATGTTGATCACACTCCCTGCCACCGTACCTGAATCAAATCGTGATCCTCATCCTCAGCAGTGGTAATGGTTCCCCAAGCCCGCCCTGCCGTATCGTGCTGGCGTGTCTCGTGTGGCACACCATTAAGGACCAAAAGAGGAATCTGAAGCTGGGGCGAGAGGAGTTGCGAGAATAGATCCGGGAGGGTGGGATGATCTCGAGAGGTGAAGGGGTACCTCCAAGAATGGAAATTTCCTATCACAACTAGTTCCTAATCAGGCGAGTGGATATGCTAGTTGGTTCCCTCTTAAGAAGAAGGAGGAGGAAGAGTCCATTTTACGGTGTGTTGGGCGTATTATCTCAAACATGCCAGCCAAGTCTTCCTCTTTCGTATATATCGTGCCAATTGCGACGGAAACGAAATGTAAGGTAAGGTATGAATGGGTGCACGCCTACTGATAAGCGCCGGCGATAGGCTGGCGGCACTGGCTGGGGAGATATTTTGGGAATTGGAGGCATGTAATAGGTATAATAACGTGCAGATTATAAGTGCCATAAAGTCCTTTCTAGGGGGACCTATTGCCGAAACAGGGCTGGGAGAGGCGATGCCATAGGCCGTAAATACTGCTGACTTGCAGCGGGCTGGCAGGAAACGTTGCCGTGCCGCATGCGACGGCCACTCCTTACGAACATTTGCAGTATGTCCCATGCAATTCACGTGTACTCGTTGCATATGTAAGCCGACGATGATTGGTTCTAAATGGTCGAATAGATATAACCATTTGACTAAACAGAGAAGCTGAGAATCCTACTGAGATGATTAGTAAAGATTCGCTACGCCCAATAGAGGAATTCCGAGGGGAAGGGAATGGAAAATGGGATTATGAATACGGATAGGAATGAATATTATTATTTTATTGTTTATTTTTAATTTTCGCATTTATTTTATTTTATTTCTTAGATCTTCTCATCTCTACTTCCTGAAAGGGATTTGATAGACAAATCTTATCCCTACTTCAGAAGAATAGAGATATGTACACGTCCGAATATGTTCATGATGATACAAAAACCCTTTAACAGAGGGATTCAATTGCGGAGAAATAAGCCACCAATCCGA